ATATCGATATATTTTTGTCAAATTTTTATGATATCTTCAAACATATATTTTATTCAAAAATAAAAACATCATCGCTTTCTCAAAATCACATAAAGTCATATTATAATATCGACTAAGATAAAGAATAAAATGAAATATTAAAATCACGATGTATCTCGCTGCATTGCGCGAGTACGTTTCTAGTGTTTTAAAATATGTTTAAAACACCTGTTTTGTAAAAATCATTAATAAAAAGGTAACTTAATTATTTAAATTTTGTTTTTATAAATTAATTATTAGGAATGAAATTTAATTCCAATACAAATCCTCAAAACCGTAACACCCATGTTATTACAACCTTCCTTTTCTTATTTAGTTAATTCTATCTGTTTGTACCTTTGAGTCCTTCCATAACCAGTTCTTTTTGACGCTTGAATATTAAGGTCCTAACTACGTTATTTCTTGTAGTCGTAGCTTTTAGAAAATGGGAGAGGGAATAAACATGTTATCTTGGCGGTTTCGGAAGGCAACAGTAGCCGCATAACTAGCGGTTTTAGCGACTGTGGTTGGCAAATTTAAAAGAAAGAAAAAGGCTGACTAAATCACTTGATCCTTTAGATCTTGAAGATGAGTAATTACTGTTTCCCAAGTAATTACTCATCTTCAAGATCTAAAGGATCAAGTGATTGAGTCAGCCTTCAAGTTTTCAACTTCTTTCGGGATTTTGCTCGGTTTTTTCTAGGTTTTCGCTAAAAACCTATTTGCATTTTCTTTGTTTAGCTTTATTTTAATTAATCTTGATATTTTAGACATTGTGGAGCCTTAATTTGAATTATTCGGTTTAACCTAACTCTATTTGACCTAAAGATGGTTTTTGAACCTTAAAAGTTGATGATGGTCATTTATATATAAGTGATATATGCGCATTTTATTCTATGTGCATTCATAAATTTCAAATTTGAACTTACCTTGAGTTATAGCACTTTATATGTGAGTAGAAGTCGAGGGGTTGCTCGGTGAGTAGAAGCGTCAAATGATTCGGACAATTGTTGCACTGGCGGGGTAGGGAGGCTACAGGAAAGATTGGGGCAGTGAGGAGTTCAACGATTTATCCCATCGACTGCATCTATCGCTGAACCAACTTCTGAATCATCTACCGAATCGCATAATCAACCAGATCCACCTAAACCTAAGAAATTTCCTAGATAATTCCCGCATCATCGATGGGCCAGTCGGTGAATAGCGAACGATAGGTAAGATACAGTGTCAGGAAGACTTTTTCCCTCTAGATTAGCAGTTGTTCTAGATGTGGACACCTTTGAGGACTGTTCACATGTTTTGCGCTTCACTTTGATAAATTGATCTGGAACATTGTTGTTCCCACTGAGCATCAAATGTTTGATATATGTCGGTATATATTAAAGGGGTTATGAAGAAATGAATGAGTCTGTATATGCATCAGAATTTCTTGTATAGAACAAATGGTACAATATGCATATGTGGTTATATTGTACCCTAATCCTTATGCATGATGATTAGGTGAATTGTTGAGATAATTAGTAAACTTGGAGAGGAAGTTTTTGTGTTCTAGAGTCGAAAAAGGATGAATACCAAGAACAGAAATAATCAAATTTTATGTTAGCTCTTTTGAGTTGCTAGTAAGTAGACATTAAAGGTCCATTGAGACTCTTGAGGTGAAACTTGTCTAGAGGAATGGGCAGGCACTAAAGTTCAAGAGTCCTTGAGGTGTAACTCTTTGGGGTAGACACTAAAGGTATATGAGGGTTTAAGGCGACGCCATGAACAGCGGTGTGCACTAAAACCATGAACCTAGGGTGTAGTCCCAATAACATCATTATGTGGCAATGCTTTTGTGTTCCCGTCACTATGATGGAAACAAGTCTCTCCATCATGGAGAGATGTTTCTTGTGTATAATGTTCAGGTTAGGACAACTTGTTGTGGCCACGAAAGTTCAAATGTTGTGACTCCGGGCTATCTGCAAAGCAGGTGGTCGTCCTAGGATTAGTCGGCCCGCATAGCAGGTTGGATATCCAGGTTAATCGAAAAAAAAACCAAACATACCAAAGATTTCAATTCCAAATCCTTCCACGTAATCCGAATCCATCAAAACCATTCCATTAAACCAAACACCCCTTAAGCATAAAGAAACATCTATTAAAAAAATAAACCCATTTCTTCGGGTTATTTCATATATTTTTTTCCTAATGATTTTTCCAAACAATAACGGATTACGAGATGTTTTTATAGGTCAGAACAATCATTTTATTCGATTTCAGAAACATAATAATTCATTTCACTAAAAAATATCTCAAAATTTAATCGCTTTTAATATAGAAGTCGGTTGGATTTTTAGGATTTTACAATTTGTTGAATGATAATTTGCGGGTCTACAACAAATTAGTTTTTGAATTTTTTTTTAAATAACATTTCAATAAATTAACGTATAAAAACTACTTTTTTCTATTTAAATCAGACTTTTAAAATAAGGTCAAATAATAAGCCAACTTGTAAAAAATCGTGTAAAATATATTCAAATGATTAAAACATTTTATAAGAATTAAAATCATTATTTTAATATTATAGTTTTTACTTATAAAATGTCTTGAAAACAAAAAAAAAAAAGTTGGTGGGGACCACTTTATTAGTCCCCTTCACTTTTACCACCCGGATGAAAACCGGGTATATTCAGATAGGGTTGTGCAAAATCCGAATTATTTAAAATTTGAACTCGAAGCAAAAATGAGGTTTTTATGTAAAATCCGAATGTCACGAAATTCGAAAACCGACTTTTTGGGGAAAATTTGAGTTCGAGTTGGGTTTGATTTTTTGTCACCCGATCCGTCCGAAAATCCGGAATATATATATACATGTATATTTTAAATACTATATAAATATACTTATTATCTAATTACCTTTTGAAAATTATAAAAAATCTTAGTCGATCGTGTTTTTTTTCTAATTTCTAAGTATACTATCGGTTTATCAGTTCTCTAAATCGATTGAGTTCATCATCAAAATCGATTGGATATATAGATTTTTTGTACTATAACTAAACCCGAACCCAACCGACCTCAACCTGAAACCCGACCAACCCGAATACAGAGCAATCTGAAATCCAAAATCCAAAAATTGGGGATTGATAAATAAGATATAAAACCTCTATTTCATGTATTATATTAAGCTAGTCGTTGTCACCTCGCGTTGTGAAACTCATATAAAAACGACTTCTTTTTACGAGTCAAATGAACCAGTTTGACAAAAAAAAATACGTAAGATATTATGCTTTTAATCATAATTAATAAATAGAATCCACATTCGATTTAAATTAGACTTTACAAGACCTAATAGAAAATCAACCAAAAATATAAAAATGAACGATGCAAGCAGTCATATATAACTGATCGAATAAGCTTTGAGTCTCATTAACCTCATTAAGTTGCTAACAAACAGATCATGAGCTTGTGAAAATCACTTCAAAGACATTTAACAAAATACCCCTAAAAATTGTATAAGAGGTTGCTTGGTTGGGGTGGGAAATAATAGAAAATAGAAATAATTAATAAGCTTTATTTTATGCAATAGACTAAGGGGCCGTTTATCAAACACTTACTCGGTAAACGCTTACTGGTAAAATTTAACATTACCACTTACTTACCGGGTAAGACTTTAGTCCACCAAAACGACATTGTATGCAACAATTTACCCAGTAAACGTTTACCATGGTGAGAGTCGTCGCCCTCACTTACCGGGTAAGACTCTCGGTCCTTGTCTCCCTCTTACCGGGTAAGATTCTTGGTCCTTACTGTATTCATCTGGTGAAATAATGTGACTTGGTAAGCGCTTACCCAAGTAAGCGTTTCGTAAACGGCCCCTAAGAAATGGAGTATAGAGAATAGATGTTGACCCATAACTAATGTGACACAACTTCTTGCACAATAATCCCAATTGCCATGGTTGAAAGGTGTTTATAACCAATTGCACCCTTTTCCAACCCCCCAAAGCCCGGCCCAGCCCAGCACGGCCTCAAAAAGCTTGGGCCTTTATTTTGCTCCTGAAAACGGGCTTGGAAGTCCCAGACCCAGGCCCTAAAAAGCCCGCGCCTTATGCACCTCATTTTGATACTAATTCGATGTGGAACAAGAAGTTACACACAACCCAATTTCCATACTCGAAAGTTACCTAGAACTCGCTACAAAACCGAAACTAAAACAACACTCGCTACAGATAACTCATAATGTGCATGTAGTTAATGTGATGGCAAAAGTTACACTATCCCGAATCTACATGGGATGATCCAAAACAAAGAAACAAACATGATGAAACCGAATCAACTACAATAAAACAACAAAATAAGAGTTGGCCCAATAATGCCCGGATTACCAGTAAAACTCGACCTCCCTGGAAGTCGAGGTCCAGTCTCACCGGAGTCGAAAAGTATACGTGAGTTTTGTCGTATACAAGTATGTACTTCGAAAATAACAGTAATAGAATCTTCTGGAGGGTCTGAAAGTGAGATGTATACAGACCTGCCCTCTACCCAAGAAAGTAGAACTGTTGCTTCCATGGGGACCCCCCAACTTCGCGAAAAGGTGTAATTGAAGCCTGTTTATATCACTTTCTTTCATGATATCTAAAGCAGTCTGATTTGCTCATTACATGAGCAACATATGACATATTACCACAAAACCCAAGATTCCCCTGTGCCCCGCCCCCAAAAACCGCCCCGGGGGCAAAAAAGGAAAAGAAAAGAGAACCCTAAAATCTCAATAAAAGAAAGAAAAGATCAAACAAACATGGTTCCAATCTAATAATCTGCAATAAGTTGAATAACATTAGTTAGATGAGATGGCTAGAGAGAAGCCAAGCCATTGATGATGATGATGATGATGACTCCCATGACCACAATCCAAAACTATTTCTTAAAACTATTTGAAACTATTTCAGTACAAGATCGAATAAGGTTCGGGTGAAGGGAGTAAAGATATGCATACCCATTGAAACAATTCAACTATGTGCTTCCAGGTGCATCACTTCCTGCCGTTGGCTTTCTGTTCAGATAACGGATAACAGCATCTTCGACCCTATAAAATGCAACCAAAAAACATCATAAGTTCACAAACAAATTTCTATACACGAGAAGAAGCGGGTACAAGACAAGCACTACCAATTCTAGATGTGCGTGGTTTTATCTTAAATCGGTTATGTTTTCCTTGTACCTGCTTCGTTTGTGTTACTGTTTTTTTAACAAATCTTTATCATATGTCTTTTCTCCCTCTTTTACACTTCTCACAAGCCGGGGGTCTTCATGGAAACGGGCTCTCAACTCTTTGGGGGTAGAGGTCAAGTTTGGGTTCGTTTGGTTTGGTAAACAAATTTCTATACACAGGTAGCAGTTTATGCAGGATACTGGATACCACATGATGAATAGTGCTCAAGGAAGAAACCTTCTCAAGTTCACAGCATGTGGGGCACGCTAAGCGGAAATGAGGGATTGTGTGCGCAGGCCTCTCCGTTAAGCACTTCTCATCATGTGGGATACTTTAAATATTGATTTCCATCTGCGCTTGTGGGTCTAGAACCAAACCAAACCGACTAGTATAGCCCACTGGAAACTATGGTCTGGAGGGGTGGGATGTAGGCAGACATGTTTTCTACCCCCAAAAGTGTAGAGCGGTTGTTTCATTGATGTGAGTTGCATTAAAACAAAACTAAACCCAACTAACCCACTATATCTCACTCGAAAGTAGGAGGGCCTGGAGGGGTGGTATCTATGTCCTCTACCCCAGCAAACTGTAACTGCAAGAAATCAGCCCTGATAAACTCAGTGGCGACAATTATTGTGTCCGTCTGAAACGAACCCTGGACAGATGGGATATTTCCACCACATCGCGGTTGATCCTGTGATGTGAGTTGCACTAAATTCCCCATATTTACAAATGGTAGCATTTGCGGTATTCTACACGATGAATAGTGCTTAAGGAAGAAGTCTCCCCCATCCCAACACGCAACATATGGAGTGTAACCAAAGGGCCTTCGGCCTAGCGGTATCCGAGCCTTTGGCCTCTCGTAGAGGTCAAGGGTTCAAACCTCACCAAAGGCGAGGAGGGTCTGCAAGTTTTTAGTTGTATTTGCCGTATATAAATAATATATACTTCTAAACACATGTATAGTGTGGAAGTAAGGGCCTTTACATGGAAAGATATGGATGCACATACCATTAATTATGAGACGGTGAAATTCATGACTCCTATTATTAAGGGTAAAAGCGTCATTCAGTTAATTAAAAAGTGTAATAATTACACATTTCTAAGCTCGTGTGTCGTTTCCATTTTGGACATTTATTTTGGGACGGAGGGAGTATTTTGTTACCCACTGCTCAGAATGTATGAAAATATCAAGTCAAATTCCACAGAAACCAGCAAAGGATCATATTCGAATCGAATTTAAAAAAAAAAATTAAAGAACTCACCATGGTTGATTATAGAAATCGGATCGGTGCTCTTTCTCAGCAATACGAGAGGCATCACCAGCAGCAGTCTTCAAATCCTTGCTTTGTGACGAAATAAAAGCGTTGATAAATTCGCTTGGTGACTGACTGAAACCCAAAAAGAAAGCCCGTCTACGCCTATGTTCATGGATCTTCTTGATTGCAGAGCAAATAGCTTCATCACAAGCATCGATCTCCCGATGCTTCTCCAAACTTTCCAAGAAATTAGACATATCTTTATCCAACGAAAAAGGAACATCCACAAGAACATCATAACACGTATTTCCCACCGGATTGTCCCCGGAAAGCTTGATTCTATGCTCCAAATGTATAGGCTGCGGTGGACTCAAATGCTGGGAAATCTTCTGGGAAACCAACGCAAATTTCACTTTATCTTCTCCAAATAGTTTCCGAAGGGGAGGATCACATGTGAAGAAGGAAGTATCAGTCGGGATTTGTAGTTTTTTAGTTTTCACGTATTGCCAAATTGCAGCGATAATCCTAGGTCGGGTCTCCACCTCAATCCCGAGAACCTCGCTTAAAGCGGGTGAAAGCTTGAATTTCTCAGGCATGTAGTTCATTTCTAATCTAATAATGGCGGTGAATTCCTTATCCCCGTTTCGCTTAACCTCGAAACCCTCGTTAAGTGCTAAAGATCGAGAACTTTCCCACAAGATTACATGGTTATCCGGGTAGAGACTTTGGTCCAAGTAAATAGTGACTTTCTTGAAAAAAGACGAAAACTTTGGATTCGTCAAACTTGGTCTGTCAGAATCCGTTCCGTTTTCTAATAGCCTCCCGAGAATCTTGAGAGACCATGATGGCTGCTCGGCTTGTTCCTTTTGAGTCCCCGATTGGGATTGGTTTGCAAAAGTGTTGAAAACATGAATCCTAAGCATCTTCTGGACACGAGGAGGGTTCTTGATCGATTCTTGAATGTCAACCTTCTTTCTCGCAAGGGCAGCATCCACACGGCCCTCGAATTCCAATAATTGGGTATAAAGAGCAGATTCGGGCAAAAGGGCAGCTACTTTATCGGGAATTTGCTTCTCGGGCGGACCTCTTTTTCTTCTACGAGCAGCAGGCGTGAGTTCCATGGTTTTCAAAGGCGAACCAGCAGCCGCACCAGAAGAACTCGGAGGCCGAGACGACGGTTTCTGACCCGATCTTTTCACATTCATCGGCGTAGCAAGTGAAGCCGATGAGACACCGATATTACTATTACTATTAATCCCTCCCACCGGATTTGGCTTGTGGGAAAGCTGAGCTTGAGCTTGTAACTGAGCTTGAAATCGAGCATGGGCGGCCCGAGCTTGAGCCTGAGCCTGAGCCTGAACATACTGAGCTTGAGCTAGGGCTTGAGCCTGTGGCTCAGACAACTGAAAATGTCCCCCAAAATGGGACTCACCACCATCATGAATTGGTGGTTGTTGGTGGTGCGAATGGTTCATGGGGGGCGGCATGGATTGAGGAGCTGTTGCCCCTGAATTACCAAACCCAGTTGGAACACCAACGCCCCCAACGTTTTTCATCGAACTGTTCATATTATTACTACCCCCCGCCATTATTATCTCAATCTACAAACAGAAACCTTCCTGGAAACACTAAACTAAGTCAAGATTCTCAACCTTTTTGCATTCAAATCGTCAATTACGTAAATGGGTATAGAAAGATTGAAAAAAAGAACAAGAAGAACAGACGGATCAGTAGAATTTCAGGTTCTATGAGTTGAAGAAAAAGGGTTCATATGAAATTGAAACCCTAGATTTAGTAAAATTGACTGAAAATGGGGACAATTTAGAACTTACATACACCAAATGTTGAATCGGATTTGGGGTTTTGATTTGGGGATTCGGATTCTTCTGAGAGTTGGAAGTGGTTCGATGATCTTCTGCTGTTTTACTAAAATCGTTGTCTCCTTCGAATCTCTTTTCCGGTCGTCGCTCCTCCGTTCGTGTCGTTCTTGTGGGTTTCAATAAGTGTTCAAAGTTACCAAATTACCCTCACCCCAGGAACTTTTATAGAAGATTTTTAATTTTCTTTAAAATAAAATAAAGATTAATCTAAATAAAATATTAATTGACTAAATTACCTTTTTTGTCCTTATGGTTTGTTAAAAAATTATGATTTTGGTCTGTATAGTTTAGAAATTAGGTTTTTTGTTTTTATTTATATTATATTATAAAACATTTGTAAATACGTCTATAAAATATATTTATAACATGTGTTAGAATTTACTTAGTTTTTATTTTTTGTTTTTTAATTAAATGCAAAATTAGACAACCAATATGGCATATATTATTACCTTAAATTAAATGAAATTTATTATAATAAATAAATTAAAGCTAAAATAAAATTGGTGTGATAAATTACTATTTTATAAAATCAAATTTGCAATTTGCAAATGTTATATAATGTAATGGCTAAGTTAGAGAGGGTCAAATGGGTCCGTTATGGCTTGGGATCGGGACTGATTTAGGACGGGGTCGGGTCGAAACGGTTTACAGGACTGGGATTGGTTATACGTAGGCTCAATTTTTTTTTAAAAATAAGTTTTTATAGATTAGAGATTTTAAAGTGTATTTCAAAATTGACTTTTGGTCGAATTTCTTTTGGGACCGATTACAAAGTCCGTTTGTAACCGGTGGATCTCGAAAGATATGAAAGATCTCCCTCCAATGAAAATAGATGGCGAGTGCCCGATCGAATTGATCGGGTCATGTAGAATTCTCATTTTTTATTTTTTTATTTCGAATTTGGAAACCTTTCAAACTGCTGCTGAATCCATGGGCAGGGACAACCTGGCGAACTGAAACATCTTAGTAGCCAGAGGAAAAGAAAGCAATTTTTTAAATTTTAGCCCATCAAATTAGCTTCTGATAAAAAAACGAGCAGTTCTAGTAAGATTTGTAATATGAATACCTTGGTTAATCTGAATTTCATATTTACGTCGGGAACGAGATCGATTATATCAAGACTAATTACGGAAAGGCAAATTGAGACCGGAACCGAGGCCCGTCCCGCCTTAGGACCCATTTTTGGCCCTCTATTATTGTAACCGCTTAACTGAAAAAGCCCAATAAAGTGATAATGAAGCCCAATAATAAAGCCCAACCCAAATCCGAAGCAAGTAAACCCACGGCAGCAGTTATAGTCAGAAACCCTAGGCCCTCAATTTGGATACCCTGTGGGTTGGCACACAATTCATCGACATTTTGCACCGGCGAACCAGTTGCTGCCATGGTCAGTTTTCCGCCGTCGATTTCCACATGAAACACACTGCATACGCATGTACATATTAATGTATGGCGCTAATTTTGTTATTGATAACCTCAGGTGAAGTACTCAAAGGAACCGGACAACCCCACGAAATGTAAGTTGTTTGATTCTCGGTTGTTCTTTTTAGTATCGATTAGATTGTGGATTGCTAGGGTTTGTTTATATAACTGTTAATTTTGTTGATGTTCATCAGCTTGCAAAGCTAGGGGATCAGATCTCAGGTGTCATTTCAAGGTATGCAGTTTTTTCGCTTCCGATTTCTTATCGATTTCTATGTGTTATTGATTATTAACATATGAACCTTTAGCTACGAAACACATTGAATATAAGATTTTAGAAAACGAGCTCCTATTTGATTTCTGATGGTTTTAAATGCAAATTTTGTATGTATATTATTGCAAAATTTCACCAAATTTCTGCTGGTAGCTGTAGTTGTCATAATTGTTATAAAATGCAAAATTGAGTACTTCACCTGAGGTTATCAATAACAATGGCAACTTCATACGTCAATATGTATATGCAGTGTGTTTCATTTGGAAATTGACGGCCATGGTTGCAACTGGTTCGCCGGTGCAAATGCCTCCAAATTGTGTGATCTTCAGAGGTCACTCCATGTCCAGCAGAGCATCTGGATTGAGGGCCTAGAGTTTCTGATCATAATTGGGGGTTTACTTGCTTTGGATTTCGGTTGGACTTTATTATTGGGATCTTTATCACTCAATTGGGCTTTTATCATTAAGCCCATGGCCTAATATATGTTTTCTGTAACATAATATTTGATTTTTCTTACCCTTTTAGTATCTAATTTTTTAGTTTTTAGTATAACCTAGTTTAAAGTGTTTAATATAGTAGAAAACATATGTTTATATATATACGATGTACAAATTTGTTGCCATAAGTCACGTGTTGAAAAATGTCAAGTCATTGCCGTGGCTTTTGAAGCTTGACCTCGCTACCACGTCTCATGCTATTTAGATTTTTTTTTGTAATTGTTTACACATTGGATTTTGTTGCCTGGTTTTCTTGTTTGAACTGTTTAATTAGTTTTTGTTTTGCTACTATACTTTCTTCTGTTCCCATAGAACACCAGAGAAACTGCCCATGCTATACGTAAGTTGCCTTTAATTAAGGCTAAAAGATACTTGGAGGATGTTCTTGTCCATAAGCAAGCTATCCCCTTCACACGCTTCTGTCGTGGAGTTGGACGTACTGCACAGGCAAAGAATCGTCATTCAAATGGACAAGGACGTTGGCCTGCTAAATCTGCAAAGTTTATCCTGGACTTGCTCAAGAATGCCGAGAGCAATGCAGAAGTAAGTAGTATCTATCTACGTTTCATATATATAAATATATATATATATATGTATATATCTTCAGCTTTCTTCTTGATAAGTTCCATCCTGCTAAAATTTGCTTGTTTGATGTAATTATTATGGTAGGTTAAGGGGTTGGATGTGGATGCACTTCACATCTCTCACATTCAGGTGAATCAAGCACGGAAACAGAGACGTCGTACATATCGTGCTCATGGAAGAATCAACCGTAAGTCTTCTTCCTCTAATATTTTGTATCTTCCTGGAACATTCATTAGGTTATTCCCAAATTTTTGAATGTGAAATTTGCCTTTAGACTACTCTTTAGTGAGAATCAGTAATCTTTTCGAGGGAACTTTATACAGAAAACCAAGTTTTTTCCAGACCTGCCCCTTCCCAATTGAAAAACTACCTCCTTCCATTTATGAAAAAACCCTTCAAAACAAAAACCTTTTCAATCTATACAGACGGATTAATCCACATAGACATCTTTATTCAGACATCCCTAAGCAAAATTGTGGCCAACCTGCTAGATGTATCATCTTTTCATACAGACGGATTAATCCACATAGACATCTTTATTCAGACACCCCCTAAGCAACATTGTGCCCAACCTGCTAGATGTATCATCTTTCGAATTGCTTTTATTTCCCATGGAGGAACAATGAAAAGATCTGCTTGTTCGCACAGCTTACATGTCTTCTCCTTGTCACATTGAGCTCACCTTGTCTGAAAAGGAAGAACCTGTTAAGAAAGAGGTTAGTTATTGATTCATTCTACTACTCCCTCCGTCCAAAATAAGTTCCCACTTTTAATTTCCAAATCTACCCTCACTTACGAGATGGAGTAATTCATTATTCTCCCTGTCATCAAGGGTATAATTGTCATTGTGGGTATCTATTTTGGGACAGAGGGAGAATGATCTTTATTTCATATGACTTATTGTAAATACTTAACAAACGTTATTGCCTACAACTCGACCGTGAATTGGTGGTGCAGGCCGAGAGTCAATTGGCTGCAAGAAAGAGCAATTAGAACGTAATCATATAACTCGGGTGGATCGACATAAGTTGGTACTAGGAAGAAAGGGTTTTATTTTTGATCTAATGGTTATTTGGAAAAGATGCGTTTCTATTTTTTAAAGATTCATTGTTTGATTACAAGATTCTGAATACTTGATGAATTTTCAATTCTTAGTTATTTATAAAATTATTTTTGAGGGTTTCATTATATTTATTTGTAATGGTTGAAATGAATGCAATATGCAGATACATAACAGGACACAAGTTGTTCATATATTTGGGAGGTTGGGAAAACAGAATCAGGAACATCTGGGTTGGGTGACATTGCACTTTTAACTCTTTTTTGCTGTGGGTGAAATAAAAATAGGGTAAAGTTAAAAAGGGAAAACTCTAAAAAAAAACGTAACAAAACCTTCTCATTTTGAATGGTTTAGTCTTTAAACTTTTTTTTTTTAATTTGAAAAAATCATTGAACCTTTTCATTTTGAATGAAAAATTCAGGGTATTGATCATTCAAAACAATAGTTTAATGATTTTTTTTATTCAAAAAAGTAGTTCAAAGTTTGATGAATTTTTCATTTAAAATGAGATAGTTTGTCGAGTGTTTTTAAACTTTTTCCTAAAATTAACTGAAATAACTTAAATGAGATTTTTTTTTTCAATCAATGTATGGAAGTCTTGAAAATAGGAACATTTGAATCTTCATAGCACCTTTTACATGTATGATAAAATAGGGATTTTAAATATCCATATTAAAGTAGAGATTACGAGGAGGAAAGTAGGTCAAGATATATTACAAAAGAAGCAAGTCAGAAACTCAAATTTGTTTTTGGCGTGCAATTGTTGATCTAGAATCCAAGAGAAAGCAGTAGCAAATAAGAAATGTGTTCTATTTGATTTTTGTTATGCCGTCCCAAACAAGTGTACCGTCATAACTTTTAAGGATGTGTTTGATGTACATGGCATGATATTATGGATGAAATAAAACAAGAACTTATCATCATATATTTGGTACGACATTCTAAGGTGGGATATGTTTTTTTAATTGAGTTTTGAAAAACTTATCTTTTTACATAAAGCTTTCTCCTAAAAGCTTATCAAACTATTACGTATAGTTGACCATAAGGATGGTCATTTGCCTGGGCCCGGTGGAGAATTCAGCTCACCCGACCCAAACAGGAAGAAGGATTCCTCGCTAAAATGGGTCCCGGGGCCGGTAAATCCCCGGTACACTCAAACCGGGGCCAGGATGTTACTCAAACAGGAGCTGGGGCCGGGGATACCCGGTATACTCAAACTAATGGATATTCTTCATGGGGTTTGACAAGGGACGAGATGTTAATCCTCGTACCCGCCAGGGACTAGGGCCGGGGCTAGGGGCTATTACTAAAAACTAGGGTCGGGGCAGGATTACAAAACCCTCCCCATCCTGCCTCATTGTCATGCCTAGTTGACCAGATAAGTTATGAGCCATTGAACTCTTTTAAGTCATTAACAAACAAGTCCTAAGTGCAACTAAAATATAACTTCCTTTGTCCCGCCAAAATATATTGAACTGAAGTGTATTACATTCATACCCCTCCGGCCCTCCCATAAAAAGGTACGTGTGCCAGTGGAGGAAAGAAGTGAGGTGATTTATGAGTGGGGAGGAATGACTTGTAACCTCAACAAAAATAGCATGATGCAACAAAAATTGGTAAATTACTAAACTATCCATATCAAATGAAAAACCCTGAAATCTTACACAATTCATTCAGTTACCACCACCATCTTCAATTTCGGATTTCATGGTGGTTTTTGACTTGGATTTTATTTTCTGGGGTTGGAAAAAAAATATATAGTCAGATTTTATGCAAGTTCAAATAAGATCATAAAATTAATTTTGTAACAATATTCTTAATTAAGATCTTGATAGAACCATAACATAACAACAATAAATAACAAGTCCAATAACTATCCTCCATTCCATCCCAGCAAACTGAGCAATTCTCTGCAATCAGAATATCCATCATCAATAAATGGGAAAGTGGAGTTGAGAGCCAAAAATGTTAAATAAGAAACCAATAGTTCATTGACTCAGTGATATCCGGGTTACTGATAGAGTTTAACTGTCTAAACTTCCATGACATCAGGGGTTTAAATCTTAGCAAATGTGAGAAGTGTGTGTGAATATTTGTTGTATATAAAATATTATGTGCTTCAAAAATGTTAAATATGGTACCAATAAGGGTCTTTGGCTCAGTGGTACCCAAATTACCGGTTGAGTCTAGCCTCCCATGAGGTCAAGGGTTCAAAACTTACCAAATATGGGAAGTGTACATGAGTATTTGCCGTATATAAATATTATATGCTTCAGATCTATACCGTATTACAAAGCATTTGGGTTAAACTCTTAAAAACAAATTATAATGCATAAACCATCATTGATTAAAGCATGTTACTTAAAATTCAAGATTACAAATCATTAATACTTTAGTACAAATTCTAATGTACAAACACTCCAAGGTTTCCACTCTTGTCCTATCTAACTTCTCTAAAATCTCTCTAATACACCAAGTGAAATCCACTCCCCCTAAAATTTCTCCTGATCCGGCGCATTGAGACCGAATATTTTGTCCCAACTCTCTCTGTTTTTGATCCCCGATCTAAAGCAGGTAATTACTTGTTTTTTTGAGTGCGTTTGATTCGTGAATTGGTTTTGAAAACGTAATGCAAAATCTAATTGATTTTTCATTCTTAATTACATCAAAATGTTACATTCCCTTGCATTGCATGGGTACATGGCTACTATGTTAAATATGGAATCAACGGGTCATTGACCGAGTAGTACCTAGTTGAGTTTGACCTGCCATGAGGTCAAGGGTTCATACCTTACCAAATGTGAGTGTGCGTGCGTATTTTCCGTATATAAATATTATATACTTCAAAAATGTTAAATAATGGAACCACATTGGCCTAGTGGTACCTAGGTTACCGGTTGAGTTCAGCCTGCCATGAGGTCAAGGGTTTAAACCTTATTTAAGATGAAGAGTGTGCATTTATATTTGTTGTATATAAATATTACTCCCTCCATCCCAAATTAAGTGTCCTCCACATTTACATTATAGTTTGTCCCATAATAAGTGTCCACTTTCAAAAGTAAGCTTTCACTTTCCCATTCTCCCTTAATTATGAGATGCAAAAAGTCTCTATATTATCAAGGGTAAAAGTGTCATTAGTTATTTAAAAAGTGTAATAATTACACATTTTTACGACTAGATGTCTTTTTCAGCGTGGACACTTAATTTCGGACAGAGGGCGTATATGTACTTCAAAATGCTAAATATGGTTTAGTATGACTTACAGATCTTATTGAAGGCCACAATATCACAGCTCTGAACATATTCATTAATGGGTTCGACCGTAAGTCTTTCTTCGATGAGTGTATCAACAGATACAAGATCATCGACAATGGTCATCATGATCTGGAGCTTCTTAATACCGTATCCAACCGCTGCCAATTTTGCTGCAGAATCACATATTAATTTGTCTTTAGGAATGTAATAATCTCTCTCGTATGGATAAAAAGTTAGATTTTTGAGCTTCTTATAAACTCAAAAGTAGTTTTAAGTTGATTTGAAGGTTATTGGGCGTTATCAAGAATGTATCCGGATTCTAGATACTTCTCCCTTGTAAATGCATTGTAGTAAATCATTTTCTAGACAAGGGAAAAGTTCATTTAGGAGAACCGTGAGAACCATTTAGGGAAAATTCATTGATTATTCATTGTGAATATACCTAACTATTCATAATATTATTCAAGATGAATGAGCATCTATCATGTTATTCATTATGAATAACTCATGATAGTTGGTTCTCATGACTCTCAAAATATATGCGGTTCTCAAATCAACTTTCCCCCTTTATATATAGTTTTTATTTAAAAGATGAAGAGGATCAACATACATGCACCCCACAACAAGCCCTCCATTTGAACACTTCTGACAGCTTCCTCGAGCTTTTGCATGTCGGTCTCATCGTCCCAAGGTTTGACATCCAACAAGACCGAAGACTTGCCAGCTGATGATATAATCGCATGAAAGCAACGGAAAATAATATCAGTAAACCCGTTGATATATTTCAGATATATAATCATCATAAGGTTTAAGAATTTAGATGTCACTGTGTTGTAAACAGGACTTATGATGCAGCATATACATTAGGGTAGGCTAAACGTTCCCTTCCCTACTAACTCCCTCCTCACACACATCAACATCAAGACTTACTTTTTACATCTTAAATATATGGTTTAATTTATACAAATATGTACAGAGTTGGAATACTTCAATCACATGGCAAGAACCTTGTTACTGGTCCACTCTAGTGCCTTTGGTATATAGGACAGAACAGGACCAAGACAATACAAAAACCTGTTATCTCACATTTGATGTGACATTATTAGACTGCGACTCGACAGGGCCTGAGTGGGAAATGCATTTTTCTGTCCCGTCAAAATTAGGTGGAACAACAATCGGGAAGATTGAAACACGATTGGTAAATTACTAAACTACCCCTAGTATCTTTCACAATTCTTTCAAAGCCTATCTCACTCTTGGCCACCCAGTCATGTCTAATCCCGTCCACATACTAAACTCACCCTGATGACTTTGACGGATGTCCCATGATGGTGATAAGACGAAAGTGAACTTACATTCTTTCTTTTTTCCAGATGCTTTCACGGCAGCTGCACGTTCTTCAGCGGCCTTCTTTTCTTCCTCCGTCTCCTCACCAAAGAGATCCACGTCACTATCATCATCCTCATCAGCTGCATCCTGGATTTTCATTGTTAAAGTCAGAATTAATATTTAATAAATCAAAAATACAAAACTAGATAAAAATTAAATAAGTTGGTACCATAAAACTACCGTGGTGCAAGATTTCTCATACCGCATATCAACCGAGTTTTCATACTTGGTATGGTAATACCAACCGATTGCAATTGTTACCAATTTAATTGGTACCAATTTAATTGGTATGGTTGGTGGTTGGTTTGCTTTGGTACAAAATTGCCACCTCTACAAAATTGAGTGGGATTTACTAGGTCCGTTTGGTTTGGTTTCTAAAGAAAAGAACACAACCCATCACACCATCAAGGAGGCTATCTAAACAGAAATTTTATAGCAAGTTCATAAAAACATGCCTTTGAATCAGCAACAGGGGGAGTTGCGGTTGCATCTTCCGGGAAAGAAGCAGATCCTTCAACAACGACACCACTGCCTTGACCAGAAACACCACTGAAAAAAGAATGTAATAATTAGTCATCTTGATCCATCCATACAAACAAATTATTTTGTACCATAAAGATCAAGACCGAACCATAGCACCGAACAAAGAATCTCTCAATCAAGGTGTAAGTTTTTATATGTCAACGACAAGTTTCACAAAGTAATACTCCCAAGGGCATAGGTTCGCACCAAAAGAGTACGTATGCTTCGATTCGGTTATTGGATAATCGGAAACCAGAAAGATATCATGTTGATTATTAATCATTATTCTAGCAGAATAACTAAAGTAAGAGTTAAAAGTGTAATATGATAATCATAGGGTTTTATGTGTAAATGTATTACGTATAATGTTATTATCATTAATAAATTTAAATAAAACATTTATTTAGGTTTAATGGGCTTTTAAATAAATGGGCCTATGGATTATAAAAGGCCCGACCCATGTTGGGGAGTTGGTCTATCTATAACTCAAATAGGTCACCTATAAATAAAGTGATAGGCCAAAGCCTAAGGGGATATTTATTTACCTCTTAATAGTTCCATTAAGAGGTAACCTCTGAATCGCTAGAAGTGAATCTTGTTTCGCAAAAAAAGTCCGTATCTTAATGGTTCTAAAACCCGATGATGTATCTTGGGCTCTAATTTCATTCTGAACAATTACCAAACAACCATATTTTGGATTATTAGTTTTTTCAGAGGTAAACAGAAAAAGAATTATTCTTTTTCTGTTAAAAGTACATACTAGATCTCTAAGGTTTTTGAGCCAGCACTCGGTGGAGGCCAGCCGTGTTCGTATGTGGATCTACATAGAGGAAACCTATTTTGGTTTCTAGTGCTCTGTCAAAATCTACTACGAATCTCAAAGGTAAATATCTAAACACCCTATGGTTTGTTTAAATTCGTTTAAATATGTAATTGGATCCGAATAGAGTTTCTTTCATGAAAAGTATTATACAAAAGTAACCTAATATTATTTTTCTGCTGTATTTTAGAAGGTTACTTTTTTATATGAAACCCGACACAAGGATTCAATGGCGATAAAATATCAAGTTTAAGAACTTACGATATCCTCAAAAGAGCTTCGATATGATTGTACCAGCGAGTTACATTCACATATTGAGGTGATGGTGGCTTAGTGAAAGCAGCATGAACTGCGAGATCGTCCTTTGAAGCTTGGTACCTGAGAAAATAAAAGGTTGTTTTATCTGCATAACAAAAACCATAACACACTGAATTCGTTTCAAAGATAAATGTTAAAGGACTCACCCGGTGATGTAACTACGAGACAATAGATACTCATCGAGCTTCTTGAGACCAGCTTCGGAGCCGACATAAAATGTGGGTGCCATTGTTATATAATCAACAAATCTCTTCTGCAAGTAAGGAGATAGTTAAACATGACCCAAAAAATAGCAGGGATGTTCACGGTTCAGTTCGGTTAGTAGAGAAAATGTGAACTGGACCGCATAAGGCAGATACCTGGACCAAAACCAACCGTCGATTGTACCAAACCAAACCGAAATAAGGTGGTTACCCGTTGTTAGGTTCACGGTTACCGAATTTATAAAAAATATTATTTGCAATATAAAACATTGAAACCAATTACACAATAACTAAACAAAAATATCCAAGTGCTACAAATTAAAATAAATTTAATTGTTTAAAAACATTCATTCTTTGGTTGATGTCTCCTTCATAACTTCATACCACAAAATTTAATCATCTAACATAACAGTTGAAACCAAAATGTAAAAGACTCTTTCTTTTAGCTTTATGTTAATAAATAAATAAAATAATAATATAAATATTTAATATTAAATACTCCCTCGTCTCAAATTAAGTGTCCAAGCTACTATTTTAGTTTGTACTAAAATAAGTGTTTATTTTCAAAATTAAGTTTCCAATTGCCCATTCTACCATTAATTATGAGATGTTATCAAGGGTAAAAGTGTAATAATTGCACATTCCTGAAACTGTGTGTCATTTTCATTGTGAACATTTATTTTGGAACAGATGGAGTATAATATATTTAATTATATATAACAGTTCGTTTCAGGTTATCTGCAGGTACCTATAATTCAAAACCGAAAGCGACCTGTGAATGTCAGGTTTTTTCAGTTTTCCATTTTTCCGTGTAGGCTCTTTTTGGTTTCAGATGGAACAGTTTGGCTCAGTTTCTCGCTCTTTGACAGACTCGGCTGTGAACAAATCCTCTCTTAGAGAATCGACCGTTCACTCATGCTTTGGACGAGAGAAAGTCTGATTAGTCTTCCTGAACACCCCTAAGAACAGGTCTTTGTCCATGTCGTATCCGGGTTACCCTAAGATCCCAACCTGTCAAGGATTCAAACCTCACCGAATTTGGGGTGTATGTGTGTATGTGAGAGAGAGAGAGAGTATTTGCTGTATAGTGTATATATAATTCAGAGAAACAAAAAATGTGAACCAACACAATATGCCATTACATATCTCTTGTATAATGAACCAGCTTGCAAATCCCATTGTTCTTTTTAAGCAACTAATTAACAAAATTACAGTGTTATATCAAATAATCAGTCCTCGATATTCATATATGCAAATCCTCTATCTACCAACATGAATTTCGTTAGTAGGATTCCTTTCTTCTCCTTGAAACATCCGGTATGTGTTCGCCGATGCTCGTCAGTTTAGACCCTAATACTCTAATCAAGCAAAATCATGTTCACATTAAACTACACCAACTCCAATTCAAGCACCACATCAGTACAGTAAACAATTGCAATTTGTAACCAATTACATCATGATCAAATTATCAAAAATCAGAAACTACTTCATCACAACAATCAACATAAACACATATGATAATTCACGTACACTAACGATGAACATAAGGATCCATTAAAGCACAATTTACATCAATAAAATAAAATAGCACTTTCATTGACAAGCGTAGTAACATATGATTGCTCTAGATTCAAAAATTCGAACATCGAAATCAGACTATTAGAGAGTAATAACGAAACCTAATTTGGTGATTCAAGAATGCATACCTAGAAGAAAGATCCGCTGGCTCGGCTCGGCTCGGCTCGGTTTTGAGTTAAGATCAGTTGGATGATTGGCAGTGGTGAACTAAAACCCTAGTCTATTTATACCGGGAAGATGAGGGTAGATTTGTCATTTGAGCTAATGTCAACATGGATACTTTATATTTTCTGTATGTCATATTTACCCCCTGTACTATTCATGTGCATCAAATTTAAGTCCTCATGCAAGATGGACGTTTGAAAATTTGATTCTTTTGAAGAATGTTACTCTATTCTTTATGTTAATCGTTAATCGTATGTGTTGTTACTTGCTATTTGTAATGTTAAATAAAAATAATATTAATAAAATCAGTACAATTTTAACCATGTTAAACACTTCTAATATGTCTCAGTTAGTGGTAGGGTATGAAAATGTCAAGATTAGTTTAACCATGGTTACTTTTACAAACTAATTGGTCGTTTACCAAATGTTTATTCGATAAGCGTTTTGGGTCACTTATCTTACCGAATGGACATGAAATAAACCGAGTATCTTACCCAGTAAGTGAAGATGATAGACTCTTACCCAGTTAGAGTTTCTCAGGTAAATTGTTGTATACAATGTCATTTTTATAAACTAGAAGCATAGTATCTTATTTGGTAAAATAAGTGAAAGTGATATCTCTTACCGATAAACGTTTACTGAGTAATTGTTTGAGTAACCGTCTGTATTTTAAAACTTTTAGAGTTGAATTCATATTCCCAAATTAGTTCAACTAAAGTAGAAGGGCCTAAATGTAATTTTTTAAAGAGTCAAACAAAATACATGTAAATTTGTGTATTTCCCTTTATATTAATTCATTTATATGTGTATACGTATATTACTAAAAATTTGGTTATGGAGAGAATTTAATTATGTTATGTGTATTGGAACTCTTATGTTATATGTACCGTCTAAGGGGTTGTTTGACAGTTATTGAATGGTTTGGTGTAAAATGATTAAGTGGTTAGAATAATTAAAATGCTCTCATGATATATAGTGCACGATGAAGTATAATTGTTCGATAATTGTTCATAATAAAATTATAGCATTGAATGGTTAAGGAAGGCCTATGATGAAAAATCATTCAAAGAGTTTTATAAACAATTAAGAGACAGACTTTTTTTGTCAAACAAGATTCACCTCTTAATGATTCAGATGTTGTCTCTTAATGGAACTGTTAAAAGGTAAACAGACAACCCCTAACTTTGTATTTGTTTTTTGCTTTTGATTATAAGTATTTGTTATGTAATTCAGTGTATATTTCGACTGTCGTTAGGTATAAATCACATCGCATCACACTTAGTGTATAAAAATCTCGTCTCATATTTGAATGTGAACTTGAATAAAACAAACTTAAAACATATAAAAATCTCATGTGTCTTAATTTCATTGGTTGGACAGGTATGAGATATGTGATTTTTGGACAACAGATTTTTATCCACTTGCGTGAGCCAAGCCCTTTACAATGCTTATGTATTCAATTCCCATCTTTAGGGTCTCTCTCAAGTCTGAAATACGAAAAACAAGAAACACACAACACGACATCAACAAATCGATAGTGAAAATTATTGCTTACATCAACAATAAGAAGAGATCATATTTTCTCGTTAGCAAACTTTCCGTCCCATAAATGACTTGAAAGGATTCAAATTCTCGTACCCTTTGGCCATCTGTGTAATTTCACCGTTCTTGTTTTCTGTGTTTTAGAAGCGGTTCTCTCCCTTCCCGTTTCAATGTTCTTTTTGGCATTTCAAATAATTTTATCATTCTTGATCGATTCTTGTTTATATGGGTTCCAAATGGTTCCACACTTTTTTTCCGTATATTTTCTGTAGTTTCATCTTTTTTAAATGAATATTGTCTCGGTAGTTGAGGTTTAGCATTGAAAATGGCGACCATCACACGTTAATCGAGGGTTAGCGGTGACCATCACATAAAAGCAGTGAGAGGGAACTTTTCAATGGTGTAATAATCACGATGTCATAGCTTTTTATTCGTAACTTGGATCAAAATTAAGCTTATTTTAGTGGTTGGTACGTTTTGGTTTTTATCAAGCAATCACAAGCAGTTATCGAGTATATATCATGGAAACAATGTATAATAATCGTGGGACTATAACAATCGTGGGACTATAACTTTTCACTCAAAATTCAAATCCAAATGGTTTTTAAATTGCTCAGAGGTTGTTTACCAAACGCTTACCCAGGTAAGTACGCTTACTCGGGTAAGTACTTACGGGTAAGCGAATACCAAGTCATATGATCTTACTAGGTGAATGTGGTAAGAACCAATAATCTTATCGGTAAGAGCGAGACAAGGACCAAGAGTTTTACCCGGTAAGTGAGGGTGATGACTCTTACCACGGTAAACGATTACCATGTAAATTGTGACATACGACGTCGTTTTGATAGACTAAAATCTTACTGGCAAGTTTGTCACAATTTCACTTCAAATATGATATCAATTTCAATATAGGTTCATAAAGAGGATGAGAAAATGGAAAAACAAGACATTTCCTCATTTTGAGGATTCGTGCATTGTTTTTGGCAATGATAAATCTAATGGGAGTTGGAGGATGCAAGCATGGAAGGTCATATCAATCAATTTGAGGACAAACTTTTAGATGATCAAAATGATGCCTCTCATGCACACATAAATGTGCAAAGTCAATAGTACACAAGTGGTAATAAGAAAAGAAAAAAACACCAGTGATTTTTTGCATGAGGTAATCAACAATGTAACATTTATGCTTGGTGGCAAACTTATGAAAGTATCGACATTGTTGATGGAAGTTGAAATTGAAATGCTCAAAAAAACTTCCATGATTGTCGAATGAGCTTGAGAAGTTTAGGACATTTTCTGAAACTGAAATGTTTAGTGCATTACTAAAGAAAACAATGGACTATGAATCTGTGATCACTTTATGGAGTTTGAAGGAGGAAAGACGTAAAAAATGGGTCTGGTTCATGTTGGACCAATGAATGATTGGTGGTGAAACAATATTTTTTGTTGGTGGTAGTTCTCGTTTGGAGCACACATGTTTGGTACTTATTTATGGGTTTACTTTATGTTGGACCAATGACCGGTTTGGTTTATAAATAATATTTTTGGGTTACGTTAGACCAATGATCAGTATAAAAAATGTGTATAACCAATATTTTTGTTAGATAATACTTTGACACTATGGTTCGACAACTTATAGCTATGTATAAAAACTTGTTTATAACAATATTTAAACGTATGGGTATTTGATGTGATAACTTGTATGAATGGTTTGATTTATGGCTGCTTGAACTTTTTTTTTAAGTTTTATGTTTATATATGATTTCGTAACGATAAACATTTTTCATTAAATGTTAATTTTATTATTATTTGTAATTAAAAAAAAAACTATCAAAAAAAAGAATATTTTTGTCTTTTTTTAATCATTCTATCCAAATTTTGTTGCAAATCAAACAAACATATTTCAATTATTTAGACAAATTACATTATATTCCCGCCAACCGACTAATTGGTCAAACCTGATAACATTAAATATCAGTTTATTCAAGATTTTAGTTTCATTGACAGATTCTATTTTTTCAGAAATCATCATGCGATCCAAACGCCCCCTTAAGGGTGCGTTTGGTACTCTGGACAGGGACATGACAGAACATGACAGGGATCCATGTTCCACGTTTGACATGAATTTTATGTGGAACAAACAAGAACATAGTGGAACAGGCCTGTTCCATCCCTACCCCATGGAACAGGGTGGAACAAAGTGGAACAGACTTATATTTTACCAATATAATCTCAAAATAAAACTTAATTCTCTTCTAAAACATCAAGTAGGTCTATCTTTTACATTTTATTTATTGTATTTTATGTTTCTTAAATTTTTATTTTACTGTCCTCAAAATATTATTTTTAAACTGTTTCTATATTTTTATTAATTTACGTAATTTATTATACATTAATAATAAAAAATAATGTAGAAAAGAGATAAAATTAAAAATAGAAAACCACATAAACTTTTTATTTGGTGTCATTTTAATTATTTTGACGAAAATTCTAATGATATATTTTGTTATAAAAAATAATTATTCAATTATAATTTAATAAATTACATAAATTGTTTTCTTGATTTTATCACCGTCAAACGTATTGCGCAAGGTTCATGCATGCAATTTGTTGTTTTCGATGAGTTTTGTATATTTTTCTTTGAACAGAGTAGTAAATATTCAATTTTGATCTTACATGAGTGATTGTACAAGTGATAGGCAGGGGCGGAACCCCATAGGGGCCTTTGGGGGCCATGGCCCCCCCGCTTTTCTACTTAAATACTATAACTAAGCTATTAAAAACATATACATTAAGTAGCTCAGTTGGCAATGATATACCTCYTATATATTGGAGGTTGCTSTTTCAAATCCCATCCCAAGCAATTGTTTTTGCACTTTATAAAAGTTATTAATATTTAATTACATGTATTAGTTTTTATATAATATATTAATTATATGTAAATATAAGTTTTTAAAGTAAATTACACCGGTATCACTATTTCTCGGTTAATACTTTGAATGTTTTAGTTTTTAGAGTAAATAATATAATATATTAATTATATGTAAATAATGTTTAAATTGGTATTACTATTTTCMTGTTAATACTTTGAATGTTTCAAATTTTAATATTACATTAATTAATCTTTTTCGAAAAATTTAATAGTCTAAAAACAAATCATTTTGATTTACAAATTTTTACAATATTATAGCATCTTCAACATATTCTTTAAAAAATTTCCAAAATGGATAATTAAAACTCTATTAAAACCAAGCTCGAGCTCCCCGCCCCAGCCAATCTCTCATTGGCAGGAAAGTCGTTTCGATCCATTGGGGTCAAATAAAGACAAAAAATGATATGTCAGTGACCTATAAACCATTATTATCAATGATTATTAACGGTGTGAATATGATGGAAAAAAATGATTGGATCAAATCCAATCTCCCATTGGCAGGAAAGTCGTTTCGATCCAATCCATTCTTGGGGTCAAATAAAGACAAAAAATGATATGTCAGTGACCTATAAACCATTAATATCAATGATTATTAACGGTGTGAATATGATGAAAAAAATGATTCTCTCTCATTGTAATCATTTTTTGTTTACACTCTCTCATGTTTTCTCCGTTTTGGAGAATTTTGGAGAGCCTGTTGGAGCAAAAATATGCCTAAAATCTTCATTTTCTCAATTTTGAAAAATCTATTGAAGATGCTCTTATATTTCGGCCCCCCGGACTACAACGGTTGTGTTCCGCCCCTGGTGATAGGTGAATTCTTTTGTTTTCTGTAATCCAAGTTTTGTGAATGTGATGATACCATATGGGATCACTAGTCAAATTGTTTTTTGATGCTTATATTTTATTTATTATTTGATATTTAATTTATTTTAATTGATTGTGCACTTGTTGGTAATAGTTTTTTCTTCTTAGTATGGAATGTACATAGATTTGCTTCGATATCGGATTATTGATGCTTATATTATATTTACCTTTTTCATATATTATTAGTTGATTATGAAATCATGTATTTTTGCAAATGTATTTTTGCAAAGTAGTAGTGGTTTGATGTAAGTTATACTTTGCACACCGTATTTGTTAACATTTATATTGATTATTTAGTTAAAAAAAAACACTAAACAACTCACTGGGGGTAAATTGGTCATTTTAATCAGTTCTGTCAAGTCCTGTCATATCTTACCAAACGTTAAATAGCTGTTATGTTTTGTCCTATCATATCTGCATACCAAACGCACCCTTAGAGTTAAAAGTGGAAAAATATAAAAACTAAAAAAGAAAATTCCAAAAAACATTTAAAAAAGTCGCGTCGTCGAGAAACGCACGCCACAACTCACGATGACAGGCTTTTTAGAACCCTGATCGCAAGTGAAATTTCTAGAATTCTAAAGGATCAATATTGTAAAATGATCGTAATACAGGGGTCGAAGTGGAAATATCATTTTAATAATAAATTTTCTTTTATAAATATTTTCCTGAAACATCGGGGCTAAAACCCTAAAAACGAGCGGCTCTCCATAGCAAAACCCTAATTTCATCCCACAAAGGGCAAAACCCCTTCGCTGCTGACTTGGAGATCTTCGTCTCCAATGGCGTTGTATCTTCTCTACGAATCTGCGTCTGGATATGGACTGTTTTTGGCTCACGGTATTGATGAAATCGGGCAAAACACAGAGGCTGTTCGTAACTCGGTAGTCGATCTGAATCGATTTGGGAAGGTTGTTAAGCTTGCCGCTTTTAATCCTTTTGAATCAGCTCTCGATGCTCTCAATCAGTGCAATGCCGTCTCCGAAGGTACTTGCACGCATGCATGAATATATATAGCAATGTTGAAATGATTCTATTTAGTTAACATGCGGAGGTGAATTGAAGTTTTTCCGTGATTCCTGATATATTTGTTTGAAAGTTTGAATCATGTTTTCGGATGGTAATTTTGGAGTTTAGAGCTTAAGGATGTTATCTGTTAATTTGTGATCCTATTTGTTCAAATTGGTTATATGCCATTCATTTTGGAAGTACATGATTGTGGTGGTTTATGTAGTTATTTATTTATTTTTATTTAGGCCAAATGACTGATGAGTTGAGGAACTTCTTGGAGCTTAGCCTTCCTAAAGTCAAGGAAGGCAAGAAACCTAAGTTCAGCTTAGGAGTAGCAGATCCCAAAATTGGGTCTCACATATATGAAGAAACTAAAATTCCCTGCCAGAGCAATGAGTTTGTGCTTGAGCTTGTTCGAGGTGTCCGTTTGCATTTTGATAGATTCATTGAGAATCTCAAGGTTTGCTTATGATTGAATAGTTTTCTTTTGTTGGAAAAATTTATGTTCGACAGTTTGTGCCTGCTTTATCAATGTTTTATGATTCCTTGAAATACTCTGACCACAAAAGACTTGTTTTTCTTGAACTTATGCAGCCTGGCGACTTGGAGAAAGCCCAACTCGGTCTCGGCCACAGTTATAGCAGGGCAAAGGTTAAATTCAATGTTAACCGTGTTGACAATATGGTTATTCAAGCAATTTTTCTCCTAGATACTCTTGATAAGGATGTCAATTCATTTTCCATGAGAGTCAGGTCTGTTCACTCTGCTTTTCTTCATATTAGTTTAATTTATTCGTTTCATTTTACAAGTGCCCTTGCTTTGATCACCAAATTATGTTTTCTTTCCCTTGTAAGTTGGAATCTTCTCGTATTTGCTTTCCGTTATAAGAATTGGCTTAGAGGTACACCTGTGAAGCGATTGATGTTTTATGCAGGGAATGGTACTCATGGCATTTTCCTGAGCTAGTGAAGATTGTCAATGACAACTATCTGTATGCTAAACTTGCAAAATATATAGAGGACAAATCAGAGTTATCTGAAGATAAATTAGCAGGCCTTGTGGATATACTTGGGGATGAAGATAAAGCAAAGGAAGTAATTGAAGCTGCTAAAGCGTCCATGGGTATGACTATAGCTATTGTATTTATGTGGCGATGGTAGTACACCCTTTCATGCTTTCATTATGTCATTATGTTTTCATGTTATTTTTCAGGCCAGGATTTGTCACCAATTGACTTGATCAATGTCAAGATGTTCGCCCAGAGGGTGATGGATCTTGCTGAGTATAGGAAAAAACTTTATGATTACCTCGTTGTTAAAATGAGTGACATTGCACCTAATTTGGCTGCTCTAATCGGTGAAGTTGTTGGAGCTCGTTTGATATCTCATGCTGGTAGCCTAACGAATCTGGCCAAGTGCCCATCTTCTACCCTTCAAATCCTTGGTGCTGAGAAGGCGCTTTTCAGGTCTTATTTCATTTCAATACTTCTTTAGCTGCTGATAAAAAAACTTAGTTTCAATCAAGTTTTCTTTGTGGGTTATAATGGAATTGCATGGAAGACAGTGGTCAACAACTTTCAGATTAGTGTCTGGTTTTTGTGTGGTTGAAGATAAGCTAATTGTTAATAAACGAACCTTTGAAACATGATTGAATGTGGATTCTTGAATGCTCTGTTCTGGTTACAGGGCTTTGAAAACCAAGGGAAACACCCCGAAGTACGGGCTTATTTTTCATTCATCTTTTATTGGACGGGCATCTGCTAAGAACAAAGGTCGGATGGCTCGTTATCTGGCAAACAAGTGTTCCATTGCTTCTCGAATTGATTGCTTCTCAGGTAAGTCTATCCTTCTCTGAAAAAGTCTTGCTTGGTCTTTATGTGTTTTTGGCCTATAATTGTATCTTTTAAACGATTACAGAGAAAAGTACCACTTCATTTGGAGAAAAACTTCGTGAACAAGTTGAGGAGCGTCTCGACTTTTATGACAAGGGGGTTGCTCCTCGTAAAAACATTGAGATGATGAAAGCTGCCATGGAAGATGCTTCAAATCAAGGTTCGTGTGGAAAATAACTCAATACACACTTTCTAATATATTGATTAATATTTGGATTGAAGTGCTTGGAATTGCAACACTCTTGATATCTTGGAAGCAAAAGTAATCATGGTAGGAAGTGGGAATCTTTCTGCCCATTTATGATATTTGCACACTTGATTTTATGGCATATGATTATAACAATTTAATGAGTGATTTTCTTTTTGAACCATCGCTTGGTTTTTTGTTGCAATCGAACCTTTTGTTCATGCAAAAAAAGCACAAAGAAACCCTATACTTTGCAAGAAGTAGCGATTTTGAACATAGCTGCTCGCACCAGGTAGTAATCTGCATCAGTAAGTCAAATTATTGAGGAACAGCTTTTTTTGATATCAAATCTGGGAACGTAAATTTATCATCGACTACTGAATTAACATGTCCGGTTAGGAATCTATGCTACAATTACAACAGATCTTCGTTTTGTTTCAGATACAGAAATGGATGTGGAGAAAACTTCCGAACCCACACCAAAGAAAAGCAAGAAAAAGAAATCCAAAGGCGACGAGGATGGAACGACGACAGAGGACAAAGAAAACAACGTTGCAAATGGAGAATCCAAGTCCGGGAAGAAGAAAAAGAAGCGATCACTCGAAGAAAGATTAGAACCCAACGAGAATGACGACAAAGAAAATGGAACGAACGGTGACGAAACGGAAAAGAAGAAAAAGAAAAAGAAAAGTAAAGATGTTGAAATGGAGGATGTGAGTGAAGAAGGTAAGAAGAAGAAGAAAAAGAAGAAGAAATCTGGTAAAGATTAGGGGTTAAATTATGGTTCTTGAAAACCTACCTTTGTAATCTATAATAGTTGTTATGGTTTAATGGTTAATGGTGTTTGTTGCTTGTCCAAGCACTACTTGGGTGACTTGATATCAAATTTTGTTGCAACTTTTTTAATTTTGGTATTTGTGTGTGTTTTTGGCCTTTTTTGATTAATTTTTTGCATTTAGGTTGAAAGAATGTTTTTGAAGGGAGTGAGTAAATGCATTTTATACATTGCGAGAGCATCCTTGATAAGAATTTTTACAATGGAGATTTTGAAAGATTATGTACAAACTCAAATATATTCTTTTAAATGTTCTAAAAAATGGAGGATGCAGGAGATGATGAAAGTCTTTAAATTTATAAAAAAAAATTGAAAGGACAAATTGTATGAAAAAGCATTTTCAAAATATACTTTCAGAACTTTTATTTTAATAACTAAGATGTAAAGTTTTAAACATTTACGTACTTGGGTAACCGGTTGAAGTATTAACTGGTTATGTTGTTGATTTAGCGAGTGATGTGGTATCCAATTTGTTATTATTTGTTGACGTGGTTAGTGGCATGATTTTTTTTTAAATATAGAATTAGTCTTCAACTGATTACTCGGATATTTAAATATTTAAAACTTTATATCCTAGATAGCAAAATGGAAGTTCTGAAAGTATGTTACCCAAAATATGAATTAAGTTAAAAGTACGTTATTTTTTCATGCAATTTGCCCTTCTAAAAAATGTTACTTCTATAGAGCATCTCCAATGGGGTAGATTTTTTAAAATGAAGAATCAAAAGTCAATCTTCAAGATTAGATTTTATAAGGGCCGTTTAGCTTGTGGGATTAAAGGAATTTGGAACTGAAAATTTCATTTCAATTCTCTGTTTGGTTGAACGAAAGTTTGGAGTTGAAACAATGGGATTTCAATAAAAATTCCCATAGAATTCAATTGTTTCCATCTCTACCGAGTCTCTTTCATCAGATCTACCACAATCTCTATATCGCTTTTGCATCGTACAGAAACAAACAAATATTTACAAAAAGAAAAAAAAATTAAATTTCATTCCAAATCCTACAAACCAAATACGTTAAAGATTCAAAATTCTTTCACAAAATTCAAATCTGTCAAAAACATCCCGTCAAACCAAGCAAACACTAACCTATACTTAAAAAGGGTATGTAAATAGAATGTAGACTTTTAAATGTATATCCTTATAAAGAAGTCAGAAGTAATAGAAGCACATATTTATCTATATTATTTGTTCAACTATACATGAATGTTTGGTAGTAGCTTAATGATAAAAAAAAATGATGCATTCAGTATGCTTTTAGGGAAGAGTTTTATGCAGAAAACCGTAAATTTGCATCCAAAATATGATTGTGATGAAAACCTATTGTTCGTTTATAGATTTCCTTTGAACCAAACTGGACATGTAAATCCCACTAGGAAGTAAGATCTCAAAGACTTGACTTTTACATCAAAGAGTATAATGGTTATTTCCATAACTACCCTTGGCTTGTGCAAAAATATGCATGAATAAAGATTAGTGAACGATTCCATAGCATCGCCCTTTCTAACGATCAAGGCTCGTAGCGGGGCTAACTAATAAAAGGCCCAGAGCTGGAGCAAGCTTATACTGAACGGGGCACGAGAAAAATAAGCAAGACGGATTTCCTTCGGACCAACTCCATCAATTCATTATTAAGTGTCTATGAAACTACGAAACAGAATGTTACACGAGTGCGAAGCAAACTACAGTTTGTGAAACCATGTATGAGATCCGGAACCGAAACAAGGTCAACTGAAGGTTTTGGACCACTCGACCGACCTAAATGTCGACTGCAATCTTTGCATCGAGACGAGTGAATTCTTCAAAGTAAGCCTTCAGATGGTCGTAAGAATGCTTCACGTCATCGACTGCACACATCTCTCTTATGCTGTGCATTGACAATTGTGGGGCTCCGATATCAACCGTCCGGATCCCCGTCCCACTCGCCAGAATCGGTCCGATGGTTGAACCGCATGGCATGTCGTTTCGAACAACAAAGTCCTGTGTTACATAAAAGTTTTCTTGATTAGGCTTGTGCATCGAAACGAAGATTAAATATTGTGGTACATAATTATGGTGGGTTCATCTTTAATCTTCGGCTAGTTGTGGATTACATAAATAACCCTGTACGATCGTGTACCGAAAAGGCGTTTGGTTGCATATTCTGCAACAAAATTAGCTTTATAGTTGATATGACATTTTTAGGTGTCTTAACAAGTTCTTTTAGGATGCTTTGAAATAACGCGTCCCATTAGCTTTTTTATAATAACTTTTGAAAAGCGTCCTATATTACATTTTTATAACACTCTTGTAAATAATGTCACATAAAAAAACTAAAAGAATATTTTATGTTAAAAATATCCTATAAAACTTGTTAGGACACCCAAAAACATCATATCAACTTATTGTAATACCTTTAAGTAGGACGTACAATTATTTGTTCCTATAAACTTAAACAATCTATTAGTAAGTCGTGTATGGATAAAGATATCTGCGTAGATTAATCTGTCTGTATAGATTTGGTAAGTTTTTAGTTGGGTGCGTTTTTTCATAGATGGAAGGAGCGTGTTTTTTAATTGGAAGGGTAAGTTTGGAAAAAACTTAGACTTTTTGCATAAAGCTCCCCTCTAAAAACTTGTTGAATAAGCCACTTTCTACATCATTAAGCCACTACCAAATAGTTGTATATGGCTGACCGAAAAAACTGAGTCCCATTAAGCTCATTAAGTTGCTAACAAACAGACCTTAAATATATTTGGCGTCCTATAAGACCGATTTTATTGTAGTGGTGTTTGAGAAGTAAGCAATAACAAGAAACAAACAATACGATTCTTCAACCAAACCGAACACAAAGAAAAAGAATGAAAAGACATAGCAGGGCAAGAATGCATAGCAGACCAACCTGAACTGGGATGTTGTGCTTAGCTGCTATTTCCCGGAATATAAAGGCGGTTACAGCATTAGTGGCGTATCGTTGGTTAGCATTATGTTTAATCACAAGCCCACCGTGCAGCTTGGGTTGATGATTCTCTTCATGTTTGTCCTGAGAAGAAATCATGTATGACAAAGTCTTCAAACCAAACCAAACGAAACGAGCCCAGTATATCTGACCCAGAAGTGGGGTCTAGGAGGGCCAAGATGTACGCAAACTTGCAGTTGATTCCATGAATCCCTCCCGGGGGCGCTTGTGAAATGTGTGTGAAACAGAGAAATGCATATAAATTTCTTGAAAAAAAAAATGTTAAGGATACACAACACAAACCATATAGTTCGGATGCAGGGCATGTGCCATGTCAGCGGACACTAGGAAGCTTTTTTGGATTGCTTTTTCTAGTAACTGCATAAAATTAATGTGAAGAATGTATCAAAAATCAACACATGTAAAATAAACTCCTCATGTGATTGCTTATAAAACCAGCTGCTAGGCTTTTCATATTGGTTACACCTTTTTAACCTATATAATGATCTTTATTTTGTTTCCCGGAGGACACCAACTTAAATAATGTTGTCATTTTAAGCCAAATCCAGCCAAACCGTCATCATAGTTCACATATCACTTACAGTTAGTTTGGTATGTGTGACAGAGCGGAACATGACGGATCAAAAACTTGTTGAACCACATTTGATGCGACATTAGACTGGGAACAAGACAGAATATATTCAAAAATGATTTTTTTGTCCTACCAAGATAGGAGATGAGACAAAATTGGTAAATTACTAAACTACCCACGTCAAATTAGATCCTTAAAACGTTCGACAACTCTTTCACCCGCCTACCTCACTCTCGCGGCATCCATGTACCAAACTCATCCTTAAAGCACTAGTAAATGACTATACTCCCCTGATCCTTAAAGCACTAGTAAATGACTATACTCCCCTGATAGAGCTAAAACCTAAACAAAGCAAAGACTAGGGGTCTGGGTTGTCAAATTATAATTAAAGATTTATAGGTGTCCGAAATTAAACCGAAATTACATTCAAATACCCCCCACCCCGCGAGGCGGTCAACCTGAGTATTTTTCCCACTTCTAAGGGGAAGCTGCTCGCCATTGCATCAACGCTCCTTGTTTTAGCAAGGACTGGGGATAGAAGTTTCTGTATGCAATCTTTCTCTTGTAAACTTTAATGGGATGTACAAAAAACTAGAGATTGGAATTCATGGTCTCCCCAACCCCACTTAAGCTCTATCTTGGCATAGGATACCACATTGTTCTAGAATAGCATGTATAAAATTTTTGAAAAAATGGAACTTCACTTTCATTGTACAGATAAATTTAGGATATGAAGCTGTTCTTACCTGTGAATCTGAGGAAAAGAAGCTTGTGATGCGGGATAGAGCATCAAACATGACTGGAGATCCAGCTCCTTGTGCTGAACTAGATCCAACCTCCTCATGATCAAATAAAGCCACCATTCTTACACCACTCTCGTCTTCAAGACTTTTTTCTGACACAGTGGCATCTATTAAAGCCTGAAAGCACGGAAGTTTAGTAATAAAGATTGCAGTAGCAAAATGGACAAGTTGCTTGATAAACAGCCAGTTCAACAACCAAGGTTAAGCATCTATGGGTCCACACAGCAAACGATGTGGCCAGGCCTAGTGTGATGAGAGTAAGACTGTAAGAGTAGGACTCGCCACCCTAATACATAACTCATGTGCTTTAAAATTTTCCCCCAAATAAATATACATGCATGCATACCTTCATATTTGAAGTAAGTCTTACCTTCAAAGAGCAGAAAGACATACAAAGATTGTCAAGCCTTCCGGAGAATACAAACTCCTTCATTGCACCAGCAATTATACTTGGTTGAGTGTCACATGCTTGTAACTCAAAATCACAAATGTCGTCTGGCTTACAACCAATCTGAGCTGCAAGAAGCTAGAAAAAGGGAAACCAAGAATCAGTACATCCAAGATAAAATTTTCTAAAAGAATTCAGAAGATTGATAAAAATCAATATATATATATATATAAAGTGCACTACCTGCAAAAGAAGAGAATGATGCTTCTGGCTACTTTCATTGGACTTCCCTCCATCAGTAAGGATACTTTTCCCATCTGGACCATTCTCAGCAACCACCTTATTGAGCTCAGCCTGACAAAGCTCCCATGTAAATGAGTTGGATAAAGAATCAATCACCCATATATATCCTCAGAAAAGGAGTTTGTAATTTCAAGTAATATATCATAGGAACTTGAAGAACTATGTATATAAAGTGAAACTTTCTGGGTCTCTTAATTTATGCTCTTGGATGGGTAGTTGAATAGAGGGATAAATCTTTTCTCCTTCATATTGAATGACATTCGCCCAGAAAAGAAGAGTATGGGGAAACCATAAATGTGTTGGTGGAAGGATAAGGCGAACGCAGAAGCAAAGCTAAAACCAAACCAAACCAAACCAAACGAACCTAGTATATCCCACAACCCAAATGTGGGGTCCGCCGGGGGGGGGGGATATACTCAGACCTGACCTCTACCCCAAGGAGTAGAGCGGTTGTTTCCTTGAAGACCCCTGGAATGTGAAAGAGTGTTAAAATGCAGAAGCAGAACTGTATAAAATGTGAACATCATAAGCTGGGCAAGATGAGAAAGGAGCTCAAGAACAAAAGACAATGCCATCAATCCATGAAGACTCGATTACAACCCACAAGTCATAGTCAGTATCAGCAATTTATTTACATAAATTAAGATTATGCCTCTCCATGTACAAACCAAAGCAAATCGAATAACAATCATATCAACATAATAACACACACCCTTCCTTATTCAACAGTGTACCAGTTTTATAGTGTAGCTAGTCAATGTTGACAAGGCCAACACTAACAGTATTAGAATAGCACTGCAAGTAGCAAAGGACACAAGTTGCATAGGTGCCTGGCAACAGAGAAAATAGCCTGTATTTCAACTCCTAGACATTAAGCAGGAATATCCATCCATACTTGTAGGATGATTTGTTTGGAAGGCCCGTTAATTATATATATTATAGACATTACCACTTATCTAGTGGTAAAAAGTATGTGCCAATACAGTATTTAAATAGAGTGATTAAAATAATTACCTTAACAGATGTTGCCAAGACAGGAGCGAGATGAGTTTGTGCATTCACCTTAAATCCATCATTAACTCCCCTACTCAACCAAAAGCCAACACATTTATAACCCATAAGCACGGATATCTATTTGAGGTTCTACATCCCCTAAGGCTGATGACACAAAATCAAAGATTATTTCATCAAATAGGTCTACCTATCCAGGTGAATTGCGAGGGTTGGGATTCGCATTATGGGCTCCTCAATTTTAACAAGCCGGTGTGAGTAAGATGCGGAATCTCCTTTTCCATCTCTAATAATCATTCTTCCAGCAACAGTTAAATCGCGATCAAACCAGGTATGCCACAAACCACCTCCATATGTCTGAACGCCAACTTCCAAATAACCACCTTTTGATACCTAATGAAGATATATCACATCATACTAGATTTCTTCCATTGAAACCAAATTTTGACAAAGTGATACAAACCCAATAGGAGATCCATAACTTGTAAAAATCAAAGACAGATTACCTTTGAAACAGGCTTCAATTTAAGACAAGGACTGTCGGTATGAGCGCCAACTATGTGGAACCCATTTCCAGCAACATACCTAAGCAATAAGACAAACATTAAAAACCAAAAACGTTCATGCTCCTATGATATCTGAAAAGGCCTTTGATTGAGCTACAACAACCTAGATATATGGAGTGATGCCTAACTTTGAAGACAATATGCACCAACTTAAAGAAATCCAAAGATTTACAGTAAACATGACATTAAGATCCTAAAGACAATGCTCCTATAATGTTTCAAACGGCCTTTGATTTAGCTACGCTAAGCTAAACATATGGAATGACACCTTACTTTAAACACTATATGCTCCAACATAAAGAAACTCCAATATTTTCAACTCTTTTTCAACATCAACAGGTAACTGATTCTAGAGTACCAAATCACAACACGCATCAAGAAAAATAAAATGAACACATACTTTTTGCCAATGGCAAACGCAACAATGGTAGAGTAATTCCTTGTGAAAAAATACTTCTTTCCAGCTTGTAAATTCCAATCTCCCCTTTCAAAGATTTGCTCATATCCCGCAACTTTCAGTCGCCTCTTAGCTTCGTCTACAGATCAAAACAATAGATAATACACACCAGTAGTAAATACAAAAGATCGAGTTAAAATTTAAATTCGCTACGTCTCAAACTTGAAGTAATCAATTAGTAATAACAGTTTCCTTCAAAATCGATAACGAAATGAACCAATAAGGGTTTCAATTCGATATCTTGCTTCCTTCTCCGATTTTTCTCATCCATCAAGCAAGAAAGAGAAAAGCAGTTACCAACGGCGTGGAAAGCTGTCGGAGAAGCGTTTAAAAAGTTGATGAGATCGCCGGCAACTGAGCATTCTCCCTTTGCCATAGATTGATCGGAGGATCTTCCTCGGCGGTTTCGTGTGCGTGAATTGTACGTTTGCAACTGCGTTAGCGTTACTGTCTGCTTTAATCCCATTCCCATCGGAATATTTCCTTTTCTTTTTCTTTTTCCTTTTGACATTTTAAAATTAAGATTCTCACCCTTTTTTTTCTTTTTTAATGTATGATTTGATCTGTTTTTAACATAAATTGATATAGCAACAAATGAAAAAATGAAAAACTAAGGAACACATTGGTAAGTGAAGATTCAAACGAGAAAACGTTCATTTTACAATAATGCAAGAACACCCTTATCACACACGTAAGAGGACTTGGTGGTGTGCATACGACATGTCCTGCAATTTAGGTCGCGCCAAAGGTCATTTACATCTTTGATTTAGTATCAAATATAAAAGATTATAATATCACATCAAGAACACTTTTATCACGTGTGATAATACATGTGAGGGGGCCTAATCATGTACGAGCGACTTTGGCCACAACCTAGGACATGTCAAAGGTCGCACGTCTTTGATTTAGTATCATATGTGATAAAAATATAGTATCACATGTTATTGATCATAGTAAAAAAGTGTTGTCGCGTTCTCGTATAATGAAAGTGTTCTCGTTTGAACCTTTCCCCACCTTGGTAACCATTCATCTGAACGGTATGTACATGTGTATACAATTAATAATTTGTAAGCAATTTGTTCAGTATACACGTATAAAAAAACCAAAAAACAACTTCAATTACTTGTATGCACATCTACATACCGTCTATATGAATGATTACCAAATTGTTCCTCAGTTTTTCATTTTTTTTGTAGGTTTGCACTTGAACCTCCTCGTGCAACACTAATTTTCAAAGGGTGTTATTATATAAATCAAGTCATATATTGAAAATGTAAGAAAATAACTCTGATGTTGATAGAATATTATTAACATGTAAATATGTACTTAAAGCATCTCCAATCCATCAGAGATTTTATAAGAATTTTTTTTTATTAACATGGATATCAAACTATGTGAGCCGACTAATCCCAGAACGATCATCTGTTTTGCAGATAATCCGGAGCCATCGTATTTGAATCTCTGTGACCACAAAATAATTTTTGTTTTAAAAAATAACTTTTTTATTTACAAATTACAATACATGTGTTTTTTTATTTACAAAATTATAGAATAATTTTTTAATTATATATATATATATATATATATATATAATTGCAATTTGTTTGTTGCAACATGCGACAAAAAAAAACGTGATCAAAAGGCATTTGTTCTAGCGGCATCTTAATCTTTTGCGTTTTAAAAGGTCAGAAGTTTAAACCTTACAAAAAATAAAGAACATATATGAATTTATTTACTGTATTTGTTGTATATAAATATTATATATTAAAAAAACAAAAAAAAAATGCGAAACTTTGCAATGTGTTTTTTATTCGGTAAACTTCAAAATCAAAATGATATTAAATAAGTAATGAAATAATTTTCTTAAACTAGTATAATAAATTTGATTATCCTTTAAAGAAATCGAATAAATATCTTACTTGATAAAAACATGAAATTAAGAGTCATTTACCAGATGCTTATCTGGATAAGTGTTTACCAAATCATATTACTTTACCGGATGAATATGATAAAGACCAAAAATCTTACCCGGTAAGAGCGAGACAATGACCAAGAGTCTTACCCGGTAAGTAAAAGCGAACACTTTTACCAAAGTTAGCATTTACCGGGTAAATTGTTGTATACGATGCCCTTTTTGGTGAACCAAAATCTTACATGGTAAGTAAGTGAAAATATTGAATTTTATTATTAAACACTTACCAGGTAAGTGTTTGGTAAACAACCCCTAAGTATTATCATTTCATATTGTCACTGCAATCAAGCACATCGAAACAAACAATTGATAGCAGAACTTTTTTTAAAGATTGGTGTTTTGAAAATATTTTAACTGAATATATTGGTTTGATAACTTATGTGTACAAATATTTAAGAAATACGTAAAACATTTACGTAAATAATGACTAGTTTATGAAATTCACGTGAAAAATATGGCTAAATACTGAATGGGAACGAAAAGATTAGTTACTGTAGTCAATTTCCCCGAATAGTACTATGACGAAGGATCGTGTAAGAATATGAGTTAAGGTGAAAAACATAAGCAACTCACTTTTAATTTCACCTTCATCCCATAAATTGCATTTCATGCAGGAATTGATTTGGTGCATCTCATCACTGCTTATCTTTAATTAGAATTAATTCAAAGGTGGAGATTTTTTCTTGTTCTTCTCATCTTAACTTTTATTTTCACCGGAACCTAACCCGTAATACTATGCCACCCATATTTGACTAAATGTCCAGGGACTGTTCTTGTACAAAATGAAATTATTGGGGGGGTTTTATGTAAGCATATATTTAAGTGGAAGAGAACTTGCAAATGCCCATCCAATCATATTCCTGAGTAGGTGTTGTCCGACCAGCAGGGTGTTAAAGACTTCTTCTGCCATCTAGTCGCCGGCGACGGTAGGAGTTTACTAGTTTCCGTTCATCTTTTTTGTCGAACGATCCTGTATGATTTTATGCGATTCTCGTCCTTTGTTTGTGATTTCTGATTTTCAATTGGTTCGGAGATTAGAGCAAGCTATCATCAACCTTTTGTTAATAGTTTTTACTCCGATTGCTACATTCCGAGACTATTTCTATATAATACTTGTTAGTTTTTTTGCTTTTTTGTTGGATTTTAGTCGTACTTGTTGGTGTGTTCGATTTGTGTTTCTGCGATACTGTTAAAACTTAAAGTCGGTGTAGGTGGGTATGACGTTCTAGCTCAGCACAATGTGTTTCCTCTTTTTAATTTGCCACAAATTTTGTGATTAAAAGCTATATTGTTCATTTTAGTTACAGGAATTGAAGGATATTGTGTTTTCTAGGGTTTATTGTGATGATATGCTGTAGAATTGTTCTTGGATTGACTCTCATTCAACCTAGAAAATATTTATTCTAGAATATATAAGCATGTCACAAATTGGGTCGAACTTGGGGTGTTTCTCTATGTGGAAGTTACTGTTTGATGAGTGGCCACTTGCCGTTATAGGTAGTTGGCTATTATTAAGTTTAATCTGTGAATAAGCATCTCATGAATTGCTAGTTCTCCGTGAAATTGTGTACAAATAAAAAGAGACCACTCCCTATGGGTTTAATGGACTCTGCTACAAATGAGAATGAATTTCTACTATGAAGATGTTAAAGACTTAAAAAAGAATATTCATGCACTGAATGCTCTGATGTCTGAAACTAGGGTATATGCTTTTGTATGATCTTGAAGATGAAGACTCGAACTAGATTTCATACGACTACATATGTAAAATTTGTAAAAATCCAGCATGACACCGTTTCTTCTCTAACAATCACATCTATGTTTTAGTCATAAGTGATGGCATGAATTCAACATTTTTGCATATATGTGAGAGAATATTAAGTACGCCTAATGTTCGGCCTTCCAGCTTATATAAAATAGAAATGAAAGAGGGCAAAAGATCATTTACTGAAGTTGGAATTTGTAGTGCTGTTTATGTTGATCTTATGGAATTTACTTACAAATCACTAAATGTTTAGGTGAACGTGAACCTCTTGATCGTTTGACATAATGATTGATCAATTGGGCTTTTGAGTGTTCATTTGACCTCAGTCCTTCATGGCAAAAAGGATCTGTTCCTGGACTTAGGTTAGGGCAAGAAGCCTAGGGTTAATTGAGGTGTTAGAGTCTCATATGGCTAGACTTGGAACATTTATCCTCAATATATGTTGGAACCTCACTTTTCTCCTCAAGGGCTTCTTTTGGAGAGTAATTGTTGGGAACAGAATTCACAGACCAAGGAAATAAAGGAAAATGCTCTATCGCAGAGTTGAAATGCTTCCAACGGCAAAAATGGAGGGGGCTAGCATTCAAGAGGCTAGACTCTCCTATTAGAAGACATGAGTAAATTTTACCACCCACACATCCCGTGCTTATATAAGTTATAACTAAACAGGTAACCGACTAGTGATATAAATTCCCCTAAATACTCTCAAGGAGGAATCCCTGCAATGCAATCCAACGTAATTGCTACTGATTTATTTTCCCCACCACTGTGGTTCCAGCCTTACTTTCCTTACCCCGTGTCTTCTTCCTAGAATATGTGAATTGATTCGGTGGGTGCATGGCAGTACTTTAATGGGGTTCTACATATTTCCACATAGTTTCAGAGCCAAGGTCTTACCACGCTAGGGACTCAACACTATGGGGCAATCTATACTCGTCCAACCCCCTATCGGCACTTTGTGACAATCTGTGTCCGTCTAGCCTCCATTGGAAGGGGCGTGTTAGAGTCGCTCATCGGCTAGACTTGCACTATTTCTCTTGAATATGTGTTGGAGCCTCCCTTCTCTCCTCAAGGGCTCCTTTGGAAAATAATCTAATAGGGTTCCACATTTTTAGACAACAGAAATTGTTTAATGAGCAACTTTCACATAATATTTTCTCTAATGCCTGGATGGAAACATGTAATTTTACCCTCCATGGGTGTGGTTTTAGGAATCAGAGGTGTTCATATGGTTGACAGAGTACAAATGTGTTTGCACATTTGCTTTGTTCTTGATCATTATGCCCTATATGTATGCTGCACTTTTTATCTCAATTCTATGTTCCTACATGAAATAAGTTTCTTACCTCTTATTTTAATGAAGTGTTTGATGCAATAGTTTCAGTTATGGTTGTATTGTTGCATCGATCATTCATCGTATTCTGGGGTCTATGGTTAGTAACCGTGGGGACAATAGTTTTTCTTTCGTTGCATCATACATGCACTTTTAGTCATGTTTAAGGACACGTTGTCTTTCTTTCCAGTCTCTTATTGATGTTCTCGAATCTAGTTTCTTCACACTTATTACAGCCAATGCACTTTATATAACTTGTTTTATTTGGGCCATTTCAGAGGTGCTTTTAACAGCAAAATAATATATGGCATCCTTTCGAGCATTCATGAACAGTCCTGTTGGGCCTAAAACTGCTCATTTCTGGGGCCCGGTCGCCAACTGGGGATTTGTTGTTGCGGTATGCTTTTCTACTAGATCATTGAGGGTGTATTAGGTACGCAGGACAATACGGGACATGATAGAACAACAGCTTCTTGTCCCATGTTTGGTGCAACACTAGACGGGAAAATGACAGGACTGAGTGAGACAAAAATCCGATTTCTCCCCACCAAAATAGGTGGAACAAAAGTCGGGGCGATAAAACAAGTTTGATAAATTACTAAACTACACGTCAATTAAAACCCTAAAACTTTGCATAATTCTTTTACCCGCCTACCTCACTCTCGCCCGTCAAGTTCTGTATTATCCTATCTTGTCTGTCTACCAAACGCACTCTGATGATGTCAGAACAGACTCTAGAGACCTTAAAAGTTAATATAAACGTGCTTTGTTGCAAGAATATTCTCATTAAAGGCTGTGATTGGTGAAATGTGGTAGGGACTGGTGGATATGCAGAAACCTCCAGAGATGATATCAGGCAACATGACCGGAGGTTGGTTATATGTCATATAAATTAATGTGGTTATGAAGGTTAAAGATTCTCATCATACTCCTAACTTTTCACTGCAGCGATGTGTGTGTATTCTGCATTATTCATGAGGTTTGCGTGGATGGTGCAGCCTCGTAACTATCTACTTCTAGCATGTCATGCTTCAAATGAGTCGGTTCAGCTCTATCAATTTTCACGTTGGGCAAAGAGCCAAGGGTAAGCTACTTTGGATGTGATACTAGTTGCATTCATATGTTCCCTTTGTAATTCCATATTCATGTTTTGGGCCAATTGCATGCAAAAGTAATGTACTTTGATTTGATTCCTGTTTTGTATAACGTACTTCCAAAACCATCAGTTTCATACCTCATATGTGACATTTCAAACATTTAGGACCTAATTTGGTTGGATTCCTATTTTGTGTAGCGTATTTTGTTCTAAATATTTGAGATATCACACATGAGGTACCAAAATGAAAGTTTTGAAAGTATGTTACACAAAATAGTCATAAAAAAGCTTGTTGCATTTTCATATTCCACCAAATTCTTGGGCCTCCACCACTACATCAAAACCCTTGTGCTTTGGGTTTAGAAATCTTTGAGTAGGAAAACGTTGCATTTTTCATGGACATTCTATTCATTTTTACGGGATGGAGGGAGTACTAAACTACATCAATATTCATAAATCAAACCAAACGAACCTGGTATATCCCACTTGGAGGTGGGGTGTGGGAGTTTGTGATATATGTAGACGTGACCTCTTTCTCTACCCCAAAGAGTAAAGGGGCTATTCGAATGATTTTCCATTAAGTCTTGCATAGATAAAGTTGTCTGTGGTGGATTAAATAGTCTGTATAGATTGGGAATTTTTTTGTTTAGGAGGTTTTTTCATAGATGAAAGGAGCGTGTTTTTTAACAGGGAGGGCATGTTTCGAGAAAACTTGTCTTTCCGCATAACACCCACCCCTCAAAGAAGCTTACTAAATAAGTTACTTTCTACATTATTAAGCCACTACCAAACAATTATGTACAGTTGGCAAAATAAGCTACGAGTCTCGTTAAGCTCATTAAGCTGCTAACAAACAAACAAACCCTAAAGCTGTTGCTTCGGATCTTATATCAAACATATAAAGTTACAAGTCCGATGGTTGTCCGACCTTCCCTCACAACTACTTTTTTTTTTGTACCAAAGGTATTTTCAGCAGAAGGAAGATAAGGCCCCATCAACTTGAACCGCAGCTGTTATTTTCATCTCTTCCCTGGACATTATCTTTGTGTGGTAATTTTGGTTTTAGTTTCTTTGAAGCTTAATATAAGTATTGAATCGAAACAAAGTTCTGCATTCGCCATCTCGATCACCATTGATGGTGATACTGACACCGATTTGATCATTGATGTTTTTGCTTTTATATTCCTTTTATTTTGTTCTTCGGTATCTGATTCAATAAAAATCCGACATGTTCTTGATTTACCATCACCATCGAAACCATAACATGGGTTGTATTTTGATCAGTATGTTACGCCTTTAGTTTTGCGAGTCTTTTTGGCACCTTATGTTGGTTTTAGCTGTTGGCTGAAAAATTAGTTGTTAGCTGATAAACTAGTTATCTTTGGTAAAAACTAGCTAATAAGCTACACATCAATGTAAAATGATTCAAAAGGACATGTTGAAAAATTATTTGGAAAAATATGAAGGACGTAATTATAAAAATCATCTAGAACTTATTGAAACACTACTTGAAAATAGCTGTATTTAAAAGCTAGCTCAGATGTACTTTTTGGGTAGAGCAATTTGCATCATTCATGATTATCGTGGGAACGGTGCGTTGAAGTGTCGTCGTTCTTTTTGCATAATAGTACGTGAATTATTAGATCAATGCATTGCTATTGATCATATAGATACACAATCTATAAGTATATTTGTTCCCGTCACTTCGAATATTTGGAGTCACAAACCGAACCGAACGAAACCATGTAGTTTGGAGTTTTTTTGTTAATCGAAATCAAAGCATAATGCTTAAAAACTAAATCATGGTAGCCGATATATTTCGATTCGATTCAGTTCAATTTCATAATTATATGATCGGGATTACACAACAATAAGTTTGTGAAGGGCCATTGGCTCATCGATACCCTGTAACTCCATCTTTCTAGAATTTCAGGGTTCATGTCTAACCAAAGATAAGAAATGTGTGAGTTTAATTTGTTCGTGTATAAAATATGCGTTCGGTTCGAAGGAAAATTTGGATCTGAAACCCCACAACAGATTGGATTTAGAAATCTCTTGAAAATGACTGTCATTTCAAATTTAAATTCTATGGATTTTACTTGTTTTCATCATATCTCTGTCCCGTCTTTTTTTATCAAATATGTCATAATCTTTCCGTTGCCTTGACATCTTGTCGAAACAGACAAATTATTTATAGAACAAACAAATAGTCACAAAATTTGAGTTCCATGGTCTTCGATTTCTATGCTTCTTCGGTTTCAACTTCCTGGTTTCCATGGTTCTCGAACGGTTCTTAGATTTCATGTTTACATATGCTTTCTACGGTTTCCGATTTCTTGTTCCATGGTTCTGGATTTCATATTCTACTGTTTTATTTCATTTGGAATAAAACATTGTTATTTAATTTTATAAAACAATTGATACCTCCCAAAAATGGAATATTTATTGTACTTCATTTTTATTCCTAAATAAATATGGAACATATAAAGAAAGAGAAATAATATTCTCATACCAACAATAATGGAAATAAAGGGAAGCAAGGTGGACCAATCCCAATCATTTATTCAATTTCTTAATAAGAACATTCTCAATGGGTATCAATTCCCAAAAAAATTCGATTACCAGCAGCTCCAATCAGTCTCGTAAGAAACCAGCTTTTAAGAATACTTACGTGAGGAGACATTTTTTGGTTCACTCAACGGTTGAGGCTAGCGAGGGTCTGAAATTTAAACCCATGATACATCTTGTATTTAGGTAAAATTGGCTGAATCCTTTTGCCAACTGAACTACACGTCAGAGGCTCTTAATGGGTATCATTTATAAAACTGGTATCAAATTTTATGCATTCAATGTAAATAATAGAAAACATCAAAATATAAGATTTTAGTTGTATTCCTTTTTTATCTTCTCAATTTGGTGTAATATGTTTGTGTAAATGAATAGTGTTGCACTAAATTTGGTGCGTTATTATTCATTACATCAGATTTGGTTTTAAGTTTTTTGTGTATCTGTTGAAGGAATTACTGTTAAATTCAGTATTTGATGTTCCTATTGAAAATGGTCTAATGCAAAATATAGAAAATAATAATAATAAAATGTATTTTTATTCGAAAACGTTATAAAAACTAACGTAAGAATTTAACAAGACATGCGTCTTTCTGAACGAGTTGTGTAACGATTTGTTTCGCTATAACAAACTTTGTTTATAAAACTTTTTTTCATATGATCCTTTTTTTAAAGCATTTTATAGATTTGTTGTGATAAAACATACAAGTTTTTAGAGTAAATTACTGGTCTTGTAGTTTGTTGGTTTTCCCTACTACGGTCCCTCAAACGCGTTTATTACATTACTCGTCTATGTGGTATGCAAAAACGCATGTTCTGAGGCCCTCCCTTTAACGAAATCTGTTAACCCAGTTGACTCAAGGGTCATTTTCGTCTTTTACCCTTTTTTTTTGTCTTTTTATATTTTGTTTTATTAGCTTATACTATTGTATATATATATATATATATATATATATATATATATGTGTGTGTGTGTGTAAAATACACAGAGTCGTCACTCCTTTCCTTTAACATCACCATCAGCCACCACCTCCGACCACCTCTCTTTACTCTCTCTCTCTCTCTCTCTCTCTCTCTCTCTCTCTCTCTCTCTCTMTATATATATATATATATCTCCGTTCTCTTACATGCATACATCCCACAGTCATCTTCCCCATCCCCCATTGTGAAACCCATATATGGGCTCCTCCTTTTATCCACCTTTGTTTTAGGCGGGCTCACAATAGAAGCAATGTGAAACACCACCCACCTTCATCTTAGGCTAACCTATTGCTACCACCAAGTCCACCTCCATCTACGTTCTCATACACACTCAAAACCACATTTATCTCTTTCGTCCCCTCCCAACCTTCCATCTTGTTTGATAATATGTCATATATGTGTGTGTGTATATATATATATATATATATATATGACAGCTTATCATATACTTTCTCATATTTCTCAAAAGAACTATGACAAGTGGTTCTTTGGATTGTTGTATACGTATTAATTTGGGGCTACCATAATAAAAATGTATTATCGATTGACTTCCTTCGCAAATTGAAATCGGGTGTTGATATTCAACTTTTTTCCTTTCAAATATTAGCAAACTATATAAAATTTTTAACTTTTTTTTTCCAGATGATTGTTGCTGCAGCCCGATAGGCGTTTACTCGTAAATAAGTAAAAGTGATACAGTTTTTGAACCCAACTTAAAGTATAAAATGTTCTTTTGAATTAGCATAAACAGATTTACATATATATACTCGGATAAATTGTATAATTTTTTTGAAATAATACTTAACTCATTTAAATGTACCAGTAAAACTTTTTTAAAGGTGTAATTATAAAATAAAATACGTAATTTTAGTTAAATTTATTATTAATTAATTATTAAGAGGTAAAAAAACCCACTTGCATTAAAATTGGAATTTGATAGTGAGTGACAATCATTGTTAGTTAGAGGGACTAAAAGTGAAACAAAATGACAATCAATTACTTTCCATTATAAAATAAATAATTTTATATTTGTAAAAATGACATCTTTCCTTTCCTTTTTTTCCTGCTCAAAAACATGAAAATTTATTTTTTCTTCTTCCTGTTCCTTCTATTCTTAAAAACAGAAATAAAAGAATTTCTTTCTTGTCTTCCCTTTCAAAACTCGAGAACACAATACAAAAATGACTAACAAACGAATTTAATTGGAAAGCTCAGCCATTTTTTCCAATTTTCAAGCTAAAATTTTTCAATATTTAAACAAACCACATACTTACGATGTTAAAGGTTATATGTTTATAGGCTTAATCATTTGAGAACTCCAAAGTTTATGAGATCAATGAGAACTACAAACATTTTTCCTTCTAAGTATAATATTTAATATATTGATTAACATATGTTTGTTTCACAATATGTTTGTTTCACGTGTACTTGGTACACAATGTGAAACTTTTTATTTGTATTTTTGTTTCGCAAACATGCCAAAAATGTTCACATTGTGAACTGGGTACATGTGAAACAAATACATTATGAAACAAATATAGGTTACTCGATATTCTAAGCCATAGTTTTAGATGGAAAAAAATCATATGAAATAACACATGATGCACTAGTTCTCAAGATTATCACAATTTCATGGATTCTTAAAAAAAGTTTCCATATATATGTGTGAGAGAGAGATAAAAGTAAATTACACTTTTGGCCCCTGTGTGGTTGGCTGGTTGCCACACATTAACAACTCTTTTTCCCTTTTTGAACTAATTATAGTTTTGGTCAATATGGTTGCCATTTTGTTTCACTTTTGGTCCCTCAAACGAAAATCTGTTAAATAGATCTGTTAACTTGAGGGGTATTTTCATTTTTTTTATATTTTTAAAAATTTTCAATAAAAATTAAGAAAAAACTATTATTATATCGAGACAAGATTCTGATTGAGAGGTGTGAGAGAAAAACAAGTCCTAGAGGAGTCGTATGAAGCGGGAGCTCCATGTACAGTTTTGAAGCTGAGCCTTTCCAACGAGACGGGGGAATTATGCTTTTTCTCCCGCCGCAGCTTCGTGGGCGGGGGAAAATGACGTGAGAAAAAGATCCCAAGGCTAAGCCCCTATTGAAATAGTGTGTGTAAGTCAACTATATGTTTCAAATGAAACTCGTTTCGACTCATCGTGGGATCACATTAGAATTATAAATTATTATTACGATAATTTATATTCATATATCAATGATAATAAATTACGCAAAAAGGTGGTCCTCTGCCGGCACCTGTGGCTTCCGAGGTACAAGAAGATGGTCGCCATTTGTTGCTCAAACCACAACGAGCAACGACTGGAGTCAGAGCGTTAGAGTCGAAAAGAGGATTCCTCACTTCTTTCTCTCCTAAAAACTGGGAAGCGTTGAGAACAAAGAAATTGTTGGTCTATCCCCGAATGTGGGCCTAGAATCATTAGCCAAATCTCGAGATTTCTTTATTAATCTATTTTTGTATTGACAGTGCCAAAATACTTTGATTTCTCATGATAATACCTTACGTGCCAAACGTGCTAATTTCAATTAATTTAAGAAAATTCTAATTTATATGATAATATTACTTATTCAACAAATTATATGATTTACCCGAGTTGATTTTCCGTTGTGATAAACTGATAAAACAATAGCTATTGAAACTTTATCACGTTCAAAAATAGATAGATCTAACGTCGCATTCAGTAAATATTTATGATACATGTATTGGGTGTAGTCAATATGTCTAAGCTTGTCCCATGATGTATAATAAATGATACATTGGGACAAATGTAAAGGCAAACAAATAGCTTCTGCTCTAAGAACAGAGGATTATGTCGGTTGTAAGAGCCGTGAATCCGCTTGCCTAACGGATTTCTCAAGTGTTCAAATTTATTTATGGCATGAAACAACCCGCAACATGGATGTAGCTTATTAATACGCTACAGGAAACCCTACTTGAGTCAATTTTAATTTTTTTACCGCCAAAACCTGGAGGAGGGTATGGGAGTTCTGTTGGGTTTTGACCAGAGCGGAATAGGCACACTGAAAAATGAGGATTTCACCGAGCTACGTAAATCGATTTGGATGCCATCAAATTATTCTTGCCGGAGACGACAAAGTAGATGTATATATGTGATCGTATATATACATATATATATATATATATATTATTATTATATTTTTAATATTTTAATTGAGAATTATAAAATGACCAAAATACCCATGAGATAACGGACTTTTTTTAACGCAAGTTAATTTAAAAGACTAAAAATGAAACAAAATGACAACCAAAAGCGTAATTTACTTCTCTATGTTTATCTTTTTAACAAACACAAAAAAAGAAATAGTAAAAAAAAAATTCAAAAATCAACGGAATCATGAAGAGATATGGACCACAAGATTAAAAAATGGAATCATAAGATGGACGGCCAGGATTTGCTAAAAGATCGGCGAGCAAAGAGGCGACTCCATACGCTTCGCTTTTAACTGGAGCATTAACCGAACCCTCCGATCCCTACTATCATCACCGCCTTCTTTCTCCCATCTCTCTATTCTGGTAAGTCTCTCTCTCTTCGATCCCTTTTTTTTTACCCCTTCTTTCTCTCTCTAAATCCCTCTTTATCTCGCACGTTTTGTCCAACGAGCCAGGGGTTTTCTAGGGTTTCGAAACACACCACCTTTCCCCCAAATTGGGATTTTGTTTTCTTGTTCTTTTATTGGCTCAAAGATCCACGTTTTGTGTCGGACTCTTTGGAACCATTATCCAGGGGGGTTTCAATTTGGGAATTTTTCTTACTCTAGGGTTTATTATTCATTAGGTGTTGTTTCGATTTCGATTTCGATTTCGATCGAGGGTAGGGTTTAGTTGGGTGTATTGGGTTTTTGTTTTTGTTATTGATTCTTTCGACTCGTGTATTTCGTGGCATTGGGTTTGGATGTTCTTGATCTGGATCGATTGATGAAATCACAATATTAGTTTGGGTTAATTGAGGAATGGGTTCAATTTGATATTTTTGTAATGAATTGGATTTGGAAGGGAGATTGACGACTCGTGTTTGCTTGAATCAGTGAATGGTTTGAGGGTAGGTCCTTAATTCGATTTGATTACTTTCGATTCGTGTAATTTTTTTGTGAATTGGACGCATGAATTGCTGATAAAGGTCTGATACAACCTAAATCTATAACCTTTGACGATTCTAATTCAGAAATTTTTTGAGGAGGATACATTGGTTCTTCGATATCTTTTTCAAGATTCTTAGGTGGCATATGTGTAGTTGAGTGTTAAATAAGTTTGGAAATGGGTATTTATGAACACTGGGAGTTGATACTTGCAGCTCTTGGGGACTGAGTTTTATGGCACCTACTTTTCCTGTAGAGTTTGCTGGACAGAGAGTTTCGAAGAATTTATCACAAACGAATTTCACTCGAATGATGGGGAAAACGAGGAAAGTTTCTAAGGGTTACTCTTATGGGTTTGTTCCAGACTACCGTCATGCCGTTGAGACCATGGCTGATTCCGAAGGATTTGGCAGCTCAGGACGGCTCGATACTGAAATGACTGCTTCAGAAGATTCGTGTGCACCCAGAAGGAAATGCATCAACTTGAATGGGGATTCTTATCAACAACTTGGGGTACCGATTCAAGTTTTGTCTTTATCGAAGTTGTCTGGTTTTGAGAGGAAGGAACTGGGCTTCAGATTGAAACGTGAGCTTGAACAAGTTAGAACATTCCAGAAGAACATTGCTATGGTTAGTTCTAACGGTTTGTCTTTGTCTCCATCCAGCGATGTTCATAGCTGTAGTGCTGGACAAAGGAGACCCATTCCGGAATTTTCCAGGTCTATGTCCGTCCCTGCTTCTCATTGCAAGAAGAAGGCTCCGCCTGGACGTAACGGTGGGGCCCGCTCAAAGAAGTCTGCAGCGGGCCGTGTTGATTCCGTGAAGAAGGCATTGCCGCCGGCTTCTGGGAATGCCATGTTGATGAAACAATGTGAGACACTGTTGAACAGGTTAATGAGTCATAATTTTGGTTGGGTTTTCAATACTCCTGTTGATGTTGTAGAGCTAAATATCCCTGATTATTACACTGTTATTAAACATCCAATGGATTTGGGGACGGTGAAAACAAAGTTAACATCAGGCAGATATATGGATCAATGGGCTTTCGCAGCTGATGTTAGGTTGACGTTTTCGAATGCAATGACTTACAATCCACGCGGAAATGATGTGCATCTTATGGCTGAAACCTTGAGCAAGTTTTTTGAAGTTAGATGGAAAGCGATCGAGAAGAAGCTGTTAGTGGCCACAGAGGCAGTGGTTCCTATGAGACAGAACGTTGTGGAAACTGAAACTGCTACTCCCATGCCTCCTTTTAAAAAGAAGAAAACCACATATTTAGGAAATGAAATAAAGCAAGAACCTGTTAAGAGGACTATGTCTGATACTGAAAAGCACAAACTGAGCTCCGAATTGGAGTCCTCGCTTTCAGACCTACCTGAAAGCATTATTGATTTCCTTAAGGATAATAGTTCAAATGGGAACCAAACAACTGAGGATGAGATTGAGATTGATATCGATACTCTCAGCAATGATACATTATTCAAATTGAGGAAGCTTTTAGATGATTATTTGGTGGACAAACAGAAAAACATGGCAAAAGCTGAGACTTGTGAAATTGAGGTACAACTTTCTTGCATGCTATCTTCTCTATATAAGTAATCCCCCTTTTCTCCCCTCCCCAAATCCCAGATGCCCATTAAGAAAAATGGGAAACCTAAATAATCCAGTGATTGTTTCATTTTCTTTGTGTAATTGCAGCTTCACAATGAGTCAGGATTCAGCAACTCATCCATGCAAGCATGCAAAGGTTGAATTTCAATCAAAGCTGAATATAGATTCCATAAATTATCTCTTTTCCGATTTGCTGGGTGGTTCTAATTTTATGTTAGTTTCAGCGAATGATGCCAATGAAGAGGATGTAGACATTGGTGGTAATGACCTGCCTATCTCAAGCTTCCCTCCAATAGAGATAGAGAAAGATACAGCTGTCAGGAACAGTAAATGCAGTAGTTCAAGTAGCTCCAGTAGTGATTCTGGATCATCATCTAGTGGTTTGTGTTGCTTCAACCTTCTGAAATTTCTATTTGTGAACCCTTATGACCTTATTATATACTTGCTTCCTTTTCATGTTTTTTTCTTTGTGTTGGTGCTTTTACGCATGCATTGGCGCTCTCTGTGGTCAATCCATGCTGATGCTAGAATAGCTTTTCCCCCGTCCATACCTAGGATGGCTGATATTAGTAGATGCTACTTGAACCACACTTTTTCTATACATATCGGCGTTTCGTATAGAGGTTATTATGTCAGGAATAGTATCACTACCCATGATTAATTAAAATTATTGGTGCCTCCAAATTTCATGAGTTTGAAAGTTCCCATTGTCCATGAATTAGATGTGTCATATGTTTGCTTGCCTGGTAGATCAGACTGTAAGAAGTGTGTTCTGTCACCTTTTTTTTTTTCTGAATCACTTGATGGTATTTGATGTCGTTTTGGCACACATTGGACTTGTGTTTAGCATCCCAAATGAAAATACCCGTCTTTTCTTTAGGAATAAATCAACTTAGATTATTTTAATGCTTTTCTGGTGTTTATTCTGTATGTTGCATTTGATCATGACTCCCTTTTCTTATTCTTTTTTCTAGTTTTAGTTTAACTATATGCTTTGTAAATTATAGGGGCAAGGGAAATAATATTTCTGTCTTGGTTGAGCATATGATGTATATGTATGACTGCATGTATTTAGGATTGAAGCCAACCCGTATGCATGGACATGATTCATGGTACAGGTTTGGCTGTATGGCATTACAAATAGTTGTTGGGGCATGGTTCTCTGAGGGTACTCTCATCCATAACTTTATCTGGGTGCATGCTACTTTGTTTATATCTACATATACATCATTCCATATATGCATACACACAAACACACTCACATATATATATATATATATATGTGTGTGTGTGTGTGTGTGAGTGTGTATGTTTGAATAAAGCATATGTGCTTTCAAATTCAGACGGCTAGTCCTTGTCTTGAACAACATACACCTTCATCTCCTAAATGGAGTGTACTTGAAGACATTTCTTTTGACGATGTACTTTTGATTACATAAAAATCGAAAAGCTACTATTTATTCATTCTTTTAGGTATTTTAGGAAAATATTTTTTTATCTGATTGTTAAAGTTTCATATAGGCTATAGCATTCCCTTTATGTGATAAAGAAAATTGTTAATTGGACGTCTTTCTTGTAAACAATAATGCCATGGTTAGGAGTTATCTCCACTTTTTTGTATTCTAAAATCACAATTTATGTTTTACGGTAATTAGGTTAGTAACCACTAGTGGTTTAGTTCTCGAACAAATTCAGAGTTGGATAATTGTAATTTGATCTTATAATTCTTATCGTTTATGCTGTTATTCAGATTCAGAGTTGGATAATGTTGAGATTAGAAACAAGGTGGCATGCAATGTTCTTGTATCTATTTATGTTCAACATTGCATCTTGAAGATGTTTCATAGACAGTATAGATTAGCATTAATCTTGTGTTAACATCTGCTTCACTTAAATATCTTATGAAATAACAAAATCAATATGCTCAGTGGCATTGAAAAAGATTAAAGAACAGTAAATTTATTTAAATTCTTATATTTGTCTTCCACCGACCCTTTGGGTTAACTTTCTATTTACTTCTCCCATGATATTATCTTTCATGGCATCTTGGAATCTGAAAAAAATACTCATGCCTCTAGAAGGGACGATTTGGGAAGTTGGGTGGAGTAAGTGAGGTGGCACAATTGTTGTCGTTTGATGTTTTTACATTGTTATTGTTGGTTAATACAGAAGCTTAATCAGTTTCTGATGCGATGTGCGGAAATTGTCCAATTTTTCTCCATTTTTTTGCAAATCTGTAAGTGTTGTTCTTTGTCAAACTGAGATGGTATACTTTGATCATTTTGTAAATGTTGATGCCAGAATGGCAAAAGGCATCTTAAGATGTTGAAGTCTGCTAAGTTATTATTCATTTTATTTCTACAATTTCTTGCTTAGGATTAGGGAAATAGGATTTTGAACACGTCTTCTACTAAGTAACAACAATATATTGTCTAAACTCATGACTCCTAGCATGTCATATGCAATGATGGAGATGGACTACATGGGATCAGCAGAATTCTAGGTAATTAGACAGGAAAGCCTTGCATGCCAAACTTGCGGGAAGGGATATAACTCACCGTGGAGATAATATGATGTCAGATTAAGGTTGGAGCTAAGAAATCACCTTTGTTCACTAGATTTTGATGATCTTGACTATAATTTTTGCAGTTCTCTTGGCTTTGATGACTGATAAAATGTTTCTGCCCCGATGAGATCAAATTGCATGTAATTTGATTACCAAGAAAAACAATTTAAGAGAATTGGAAACCCATTTCATCTTGATCATGAATTTTTAATGGTGAAGTATGTGGAAGATTTTTAATTCGTTTACACATGGACCGTCTTTGGTTAGGAGCAGGTTCAGTTAAGAACCTCATTCTCATGAAGAACTGGAGGACTGCCACAATGTGACCTATTCATCAAAAATATGGACGTGTTATTCATCATGAAATGTTGTTCATCATGAAATGTTGTGACAAATTCATCATAATGTGTGACATGATGAATAACATGTCCATATTCATCATGAATGTGTTATTCATCCCCAAGGACACATGGCGGTTCCTGGGTTCTCAATGAAAAACGGGTTCTCAACCGAACTTTCCTCCTTTTTCTTATATGCATCTGAGATGTGGACGGAGGCTCTTATAGTAAGCGAATGATGCAAATGATGCTTGTTTCTGCAGACTCAGACTCAGACAGTTCTTCAGGAAGTGAATCAGATGGTGCAAATGCTTCAGCCATCATGAACAACAATAAGGTAAGCTCTTTATGTCACAGTTCGCAGTTAAGTTTAGCACAAATGAAAGTGTAGATGCTTCTAGTTGTCTGGCTGTTATGTGCATGAATACTGACATGTGTTGCTGTTCTTATTTCATATTAGGACACGTTCTGCTCTGAGGTTAATATGGAGCAAATTCCAGCTGTTCATGAGGATGCAGAGGCTGAACATTGTGAGTTTTACATCGAGAATGTAACAATCCGTCTCACATTGATAGAAAATTAGATCTGTGAGCTCCTTATAAGCTCAAAGTTCTGGACGACCAATTACTTCCACCATTTTCATCATGTTGATTTGGAGGTTATTGGGTCAGTCTGCTGCTTTGGGTTTTGGGCGTTACAAATAATTAGTAGAAATCTTACAAGGTTGTGTTCTTCTATATTTCTTGAGGTTATGTATGTATTTTTCAGATTCTGTAAATGGGATGGGCCTGGTTGAGCAAAAATCTCACTCTATTCCTGTTTCTGGTGAAGTTGATGGCCGTCAAGAGGGTAAGCAGTGAAATAATGAAGAAACTATTGTGCTGTCGGTTTTACGGCATCTTCTCACCATTAATGCTATAACACGTCTTAGGGGAGAGCGCTGCATCCGAGAGGCAAGTGTCTCCCGATAAGCTTTACCGTGCGGCTCTATTGAGAAACCGTTTTGCTGACACCATACTGAAAGCTCAAGAAAAAACCATTGGAAAGGTATGAATTAGTCCTGTGCTTCATTTTATGGATCTTACATGGGGTTATTCAGGGGAATAACCTTTTGATAGATTTTTTTAAAATACATGGCCTGCTGACTGATTTAAGGCATTCTTGTATTAGAAAGAGTCATTCTTTTATTAGGAAGATGCGTTCTTGAATCTGTTAGAAGGTCGTGCATTTAAAAAAAATCTGTCGGAAGGTTATTCTTGTTGAACATACATAACCGCATTGGTATACCTTATTGCAATGACTGATTGTGAGAATGTGGTATTATGAGTTTCAGGGCTGTGAGAAGCAGGATAGGGAGAGGCTGAGGCTTGAGAAGGAGGAGCTAGAAAAGCGAAGAAAAGAAGGTTTTAATTTTTTTTTTTGTGTATATACACTATATATAAAGGGAGGTTTATTTAGGAACCTTAAATATTTTAGGAACCCTGTGACGACTCATTTTGTTAGTATTCATGATGAATTCATACAAAATAGGTCGTTCCTGGGTTTCTAAAATATTTTAGGTTCCTAAATAAGCCTTCCCCTATATATTTGTTTTTGGTTATTACCTCATTATATTTCTTTTTGGGCAATTATTACTGAACTTGAGATCATCTTGTCATGTAGAAAAAGCTCGATTGCAAGCAGAAGCAAAGGCTGCGGAAGAGGCACGGCGAAATGCGGAATTAGAAGCTGCTGTCGAAGCGAAAAGGAAGAGGGAACTGGAGAGGGAGGCAGCACGTCAGGCTCTACAGAAGGTAATTATTGCACCTTTTAATCAATTAAATGACGATTTTACCCTTAATAATAGGGGAGCGGATAATTTCTCCATCTCATAAGTAAGGGTAAAATTGGAAACTAGACAATTACTTTTGAAATAGGACACTTATTTTGGGACAAACTAAAATAGAAATATGGACATTTGTGTTCGGATGAATTGTAGAGCTGTTCACGGGCGGTACTGCCCGCTAGACCGAGCTCGCACAGTTCGTTAGGAAATTAGACCATCATTCTTGGAAAAATGGGCGGGCTTGGGCTGGACTGTTAAAATTAATGGGTGGCCCGGGTGATGAATTTTTTTTTGGACATGCCCACCCAGCCCAGTGTATTATTATAGTTGATTAAATTCTATATATGATTGATACTTTAATGCTTTTTTTATTGAAAAGATTTACCAGTGGCTTTGTGTTGGACTCCCTCTACTAAAATATTAAGTGGTTAAATATTTTGTTATTGAAAAAACCCGAACTATGAAAGTTGATAAATTATTGAAGAGAAAATGTCCATCCTTCATATATTGTGGAACTATTTTTTTTTCTTACACTATGTACAGTGGTATATTTTACGCCTTATTTACGTTGGAAAGAAAATAATGTAATTTAAAAGATTTTAAATAACATATGAATTCATTGGGCGGGTACGGGCAGGTTCTCAAGCCTGCAAAAATGGGCTTGGGTTTGCTATATTACGCCTGTTGGACAAAAAGAATATGTTAGGCCTGGGCCGAGCCCTGCCAAGCCTGCAAATGATCACTTGAAATCTACAATCAGAAAGAAGCTTGATCTCTTGTCTTTAGTTCTGTAATCATATTCATTCAAAGGACTGTGAAATTGCTTTAATTATTTAAAGGGTAAAAGAAGTAAATTTAACAAGATTATGGTCAAGTTTAATGGTTTGTTGAAGATTTGGATTAAGATTGTGATATCTAACACCTATAGTTTTTCCTGCCAGATGGAAAAAATGGTTGATATCGATGACAATTCTGGGTTTCTTGAAGATTTGGAAATGCTAAGTGTCGCGGCCGCTGAGCCTTTAGAAAACTTCATAGATGAGGCTAGTGCAGATTGTGGTGAAGGGAGGTTTAAGTTGAACGGAAAAGGTAATCCGCTGGAACAACTTGGCTTGTACATGAAAGATGACGAAGATGAAGAGGAAGAAGAGGTGAACCCGCGACCAGCTCAGGGCGGTGACGATCCAGAGGAAGGAGAGATTGATTGAATGAATGGATTCTTCACATGTTTGGTATCATATTCATTATGAATAGTGGGTGGCATTATTACAGCAGAGGATGGATTGATTCTTTGAAGTGGAGATGAAGAGGATTTGGCCTGGAAATGAGTGCTGGATTGATTGAACATACAACACAGATTGTAGATCTTCTGAGGTTTTGCATTCCTTTTAGTTAACCATTTTTTTGTGTAAAAAAGTGGGAAGCAATTCTTTTTAGTAGTGAGATAGTGAAGGTTAATGCACTTGCAAAAATTGCAAGATGCTTAGTTTTTTTGGTTACTGAGAAAAGGGTTTGCATTTTTGCACAACTTGTGCAGGTAGAGCTTGTTTGCATGTTTTTAGGGCATGCATGTTGCCATTTGGATCAATTCTATTTCTGATTAAAGGAAATGTTTAATGTTGGCATAAACCATGAATGGAACAAAATGGGGTTTGCACAGAAAAGCCAAAACCCAAAGGCTAGCCCAGGCTTGTGTGGTCTGAAGAATCCTGGGCTTAGTGACCATGAAGCCGGGTTTGAGCCTGGCCTCAAAGCTTGATCGGGTCCAAATTGCCTGAAAAAGCTTGGTTAAGTTTTGCTTGAAAAAAAGGCTGATCGGACCCTTTTTCTATCCCAAAGCCCGATACCGCGTGTTTTTATGGGTTTAGAAGCGGGCCTCTCTAGTTTGAAAATCAAGTTAATTATTTTCTCGAAAATTTCTTTGATAGTGCGTTTGGTCCGTTTTAAAGAATGGAAACGGGAACGTAGGAGAATGGGTATAGGAATAATATTTTCGTTCCTCCAAATCCGGTTAGGCATGGAAATTAATGGGTCTAGACTCTAGAATAATGAACCCGTTATATTATATCAAATCAAACTACATTAATTATTATAATTCATTTTCCCTTAATACCCCCCTTAGGCCTTCTTATCAATAAAAGTGACTCTAAGAAGCTTATGATAGCACATGGAAGTTATGGTTAAATTATAGTATTTCTTGGTTTTAATATTTTATTTTATTCTTTAATTCAGTCGACGCTATAATATGGTCTTATATGATTTGGAGAAAACGATAATGTTTTTATTTTTGAATAAAATATAAATTTGAAGATGTTATAAAATTTGACAAAAATATATCAATATTAGTATCAAATTAACTATTTAAAATTCTTCATTTATTGTATAATTTTTTAGTTCAATTTTTTATTATAATTTAATTTAACGATAATAATTAATTGTTTTGTTAGAACTTGATAATTATCCTAATAATAGTTTATATTTTTTTTATATTTTAAAATGAGATGTTTATCCTCTATTTGATTATGTTTATCCATAGTTAATTATACGAATTCAAACATTGAACTTTAATAAATTGTACTTACGCACAACTTACTTGTAATTTTAAACTTTAAATAATATGCATCAATATACAGTATTTTATGCATTAAAATGGTTTTTAAAAGTTTTTGTCAAATGCTTTATAATACAGTATATATATATATATATATATATATATATATATATATATATATATATATATAAGTAAATTGTCAGATTTAAAAAAATATTGGTTTTTTGTTAATAGCAATGAAAAGTTGGCCATATCCGGCCGACTAGCAAGAAGCATATCTTACTTCAGATATTTAAATTAAAGAATCATAGGCTTAGTGGTACCTACATCAGCGGTAAAACCCGAAATCATCGAAGAAGTTAAACGTTCAAACCTCATGAGTGTGCACGAACATTTCTCCTATAGGGTCAGATACTCGGTTTAGAGGAAAACAACAAAAAATGAAAAAAAAACTAAGAAACATCCTAATAACCATTCATCTATAATATATGATGTGCAAATACGCATAGAAACCAGAAAATATCTTCAATTACTTATATACCGTACAAATGAATAGTTATTAATGTCATCTCTTGCTAAAGAAGCATTGAAGTAGCAGTTAGCTCTTTTTCCTTCTTCTCATAAATTAAGAAATCAAGGGTCAGAAAGATCCAATGGACATAAATAATAAATACAGGGCTAAAAATGGAAAACTATACTGCTGCTAGTAGTACCACAAAGAAATAGACCACCAGACCTAATGATGCTTCTTTCTCTCCAACTATCAAACAGAACCTTTTCAGTCCTCTCAATCTCCCTATACTTCTCCATATCCATTCCCCTTTTGCTGCTATTTGTTGAATCATCTTCAGGGTTCCAACTTCCATGGCTGCTGCTCCCTTCATCTTGGATTAATTCCAAATCCTATTCAAAATTCACACCACCATCATCAACCGGTTAAAGAAATACACCAAACGTATCCTATAATTCCAAAATAAGCGGATGAAAGTATTCTACAAGGTTTTAGGGTGTCGATTTGACATGGGTAGTTTAGTAATTTATCAATCGTATACTATCTTTATTTTTTCCACCTATTTTGGTAGGACACAAAAAATGCATATTTGTCCCGCTCAGATCATGTCTTATACTAGTCTAATGTTGCACCAATTACTAAACATAAGACGACAAGTTTTTATACCGTCCTGTCTCACATACCAAACGCACATGGGTCCCATTCACTTGATGGTAGTTCAATAACCACAAAATGTGCGAGTTCAATAGTGTAAAAAGTAGCATTTTATGTTTCCTTGTGGAAAAATGAGGGAAACCGACAATTACCTGAGATGGATCCCATAGTTTTGTTTTTGGAGTCGTGGGAGGCGGCATTGTTTTCCGGCTTGTAGGAGGGCCGCCATCATTGCCATCCCATTTCAACCAAGGTAGTTTAATGCCTTCCATTTCGACAGGAAGAGAGTTGCATCCTGCAGGACTACCGTTTTGACCACCATCTCTTTGTTTGGTAGTTCCGGTTAGAGTTGAGCTCGTGTCACTTCTTTCTCCATCAAACGAAGAAAAATCCGTATCTTCAACATTCGATATGAAGTCTTCAAAGTATTGCTCTGCTTCTTCGTTTAATCGTTTAGACACGTGGCTCCTGTCATTGCTCCTCTGGAAGTACAAAAATCATCAGCAATTAAGAACACTCCAACAGTTTCTCCATAATTTTCTTTAAAATGGAGAAAGAAAAGTTAAAATCTCCAAAACAATTACGCTCGACTTCAACAGTTTCTTCCAAAGGGAAATTCCAACGAGCATAAAAACTACAAAATCACATTTTTCTCCATTTTTGAAGGAGCTGTTAAAGATTTTCTTAGACTTATGCCATGATGGTTTCACAAATAGTCATCAGCAAGATAGAGAATTAATAGAACTACACCTTTCTGGGATGTGAGACTCTCTGTGCATTAGCAGTGCTCTTCGGCTCGGGAAGCACTTCCCTCACAATCTTGTACCCATCCTTACCCTGTTGCCCCTCTAGCATCTTTTCAGCCGACAAATCTTGTTTCCGCTTCTCCGGCTTTAGATAAGAAAAGATGAAATTATCCACTACTTCAGAATTCAGAGTATAAGTGCAAGAATTAAAATGCCAATAAAAAAAGTTATCAAAAATATGATAAAATAATGTCATTCAGATTATTTAAATGTTGCACTTTTAACCATGAATTCAACTATTGCAAACGAGAATGGTATCCTGGACATTTCATCAAGTTCTTAATTTCCTTGCCATTTGAATGTTGATAAACTGGCCCTCGAAAAGTTATAATGAAGTAGAAAAGTAACCATTAAAAAAATTTACTTCATTACTTTTACGATATCATGTCTAAAATGACAAAAACCATCATCTGATGACATTAGTAGACAACACTTCATCAAGGTAGATGTAGTTAATGAAGCAGCTTGTTACCTGTTTTAACTTTGTCGTATAGTTCTTTCTTGTTGTAGAAACCGTTTGAAGACCATCAGATTTGTTTGAATGCAAACGATCATGTACAGACAATGCGGAGGGCTTTCTTTCCATGGTCTGGATCAGTTAGTAAAAAAATGTTGTAGTCAGCAAACATAGTACCAAATATTTGGAGGTGTCATAATCATGGCATTTAAGAAAGTACTAGACCTGTTCAAGTTCTATCATGATTTCATTGACAGCAGACCTAAGCTCTTTTCTCATTGCTTCGTAAAGCCCATGGTTAGTATCATCCCTAGTGGGGTGGTCAATCTACAACATAGGATTGGTTGTTAATTATGCAGATATGAACAGTATAGGAAATAAATAAATGGTACTGTTGGCATCTGGAGACAATTACCCCACCCCCACTTTTTCCCTCCATAGGTAGCAGTTATATTTCGGAAAAGAACAACCTTTTTTTGTGCATAAACGGCTCGAATAGTCTTCTCAATTTCCTTTTTCCCATAACGAGCATCTCTTGAATCATCGTCAGTCAATGCAGAAGATTGGCTCTGAGATATCCATAGACATTGCACACAATTAATTTCGTTTTACAACTGAGTCTAGATACAGCTCAGAAAAAACAAGAATTTGATAATATCCTTAGCCCGCTGGAGAGCTAGATTTGCCTTAATTGTTTTGTCTCTTTCCTTCAGCTTTTCGTGATCCGCTGCCAAACTTATTCCAAGAGAGCTCATATAGCAATCGTAAAAAAGTTGGCATCGGATTTTGAACCCAGGTTTGTGTAATTCAGACTTGTGTAAGATTAATTTGTATTGGCTACCAAAGGTAACAATTGTAAAATATCCTATAAAACCAGCAAAAACAAACATGAGGTGCTTTAGTTTACCGAGTAGCCATCGTGTGACCTCAATTGAGGTGTTTGGCTCATAGATCTGCTCAATCTTCGATGACTTGAAGCAGTGGGTCTTTGAAAAGAAGCAACCCGACTATTTCCATTATTGATGTTTCTGGACTTGAGTTGATTGGTAGAACTCCAGGAATGATCTATATCGCTCTGTCGATCAAATAAGAAGTTTTATCAGGCTCCAAAAGAATGTACGAAGACTGGAGCACTACAATTAAAGCAAGACTGAGAAAATCCAACAGTAAACATAGTAACATGAGAAGCCACTCACACTGAACAGCTCTTATCAAAGACATGACAAGAGCCACACCATTGCAGATCAAACAGATTTAATATTATTTGTTGTTGTCAGTGATAGCTTGTAGAATAGATAAACTGTCACATGATGCATTCATGCATCACAAATGGTTAGAGTATACTTATAGTTTCAACAAGGATCAAATATCAATAAATGCTTGTCTTTACCTAAGCAATGGGTCCAACTAAGAGAAGCTAAGCAACAGGCTAGTTTACAAGACACTTAATAGTTTCACCACTCTGGAGCTGGAAAGGTTAATATGTCCAACCAAAGGGCCTTTGGCCTAGCGGTATGTGGGTCTTTCGCCTGCTAAGAGGTCAGGGGTTCAAACCTCACCAAAGGTGAGGAGGGGGTGTGAGTTTATTTGTTCTATTTGCCGTATATAAATATTATATACTTCAAAAAAAATGTTAATATGTCCACAACCTTTACTCCTAAAAGCTGAGAGGATACCCGATGTCATATGGTAATTGGACCTTTTACAGTGATATCTATGAATGCAATGGGTCCAAGATCTATCCTTAGATAGATGCAGTACAAAGTTGAACAGGATCTTTTGAAACCACCTTCACCCCCATATATTATCCAAGTCGTTGGTTTTTTTTGCATTTCCAAAGGGTTGTACTTCATTGAAAGACCGTGGCACCTTTTACTATCTTCATTGATTTGTTGTGTGAGAAAGTATCCTTAACCAAACGGAGCATGTCAGGATCCAATGGGAGAGTGAGAAAAGAGGGGGAAGGTAAATACAAACAAACCACAAACCACAAACCAGGGTGACTGGACAGGTATATCAACAAAATGCATTAGACTTAGCGGACTATATCAGCAAGTTTTATACCTAGTCAAGTATTCAATTATTTTTGTCATCAACTTTTTTGTCTACATGTTAGTCAGTCTGTACTGGTTGGGGAAAGGCAAAAGATAGGATGAATGATTTCATATTTTCATATACCCAATAATTCACCTGTTATTAATGAATTTGAGGAATCATGCATCACAGCATCAGCCAAACACAAACTTGTGTGTAGCTTAAAAAAGACTTCCGAAGTTAGCAATGAATTACCTCCAGAAGAAGCAAACAACACATCCCAAAATCTTTAATCACACTTCCCCAAAATTGTGGAACAAAATATCCAACAATGCAGCACTTCCATGATTATATTACCATCCATGTCAGACAAAAACTATCAAACAATCTGATTTTATTCTTGGAGATGTAGACAAGAAGACCAATTTAGTCGGGATGCATACCAGTATACCACAATATAACTAAACAAAAAAGTGCAACTTTATAAGCTTGTACAATAGCTGTGGTTGATATAGATTAGAGAGTGCAATAAAGAAACATTCGCTTTTACTGGTTCTTCTTCAGAACAATGGTCAAATACAATAACATAGTTTCATCAATTGTTCTTCCCTGACTATTTTCATCTGATGCCAAAGCAGTTTTACATGAATCTGGTTGTCTTCTCATTCTATATTATTTCATATCAGTATATCACAATGAACAAATATGGAGATATTTCAAAGCTATATGCCTCTGTCATTGATTTCATATTTAATTCCCCACAGAAATTTGTAATTGAAAATCTTGGCTTCTTGAGTAATCCTTGTATAAGGCCTTAGGTTCATGGGATTTCTTCAACCAATATGCTTTCTTGCTCACAACAGCAAGAAACCCCAAACCTCTAAATGACACTTTTTCTTGATCGATGGGCCAAAAACAGTTGAGCAAATAGATTTCACTGAAGATTATACTCTACTTTTACTTCAGCTAAATTTTATCTAGAAAACATTTACCTCGGAATCGCTTAACTGGTACCGTGCAACTGACACAGAGCGTCTCCTTCTCAAATCAGCATCGGAAACAACCCTAGTAGTACCACCAGCATTAGGAGTAGTACCGTCGTTACGCCTGGCCACAGACCTGCCACGCCTTTGAGAAAACGCCGTCGCACTAACACCCTCAGAAACTCCAGAATTAGCACCATTGTGATGCCTCGATACAGACCTTGAACGCCTTTGAGACGAGGTCGTCACCGGACTAATCTCAGACTTCACCGGAACAGGTCCGCTATTTCTACTGCTTCCACTCTCATCTTCTACCTCGGAGCTGTTTTCCTTCCCAGAAAAAAACTCGATAGCCAGATCATCGAGACTAATTTCCGGAAATCCTGAACCTCTCACAGTGTTAACAAATTTGCGTCTTGGAGTAGGAAGAACACCTGGTTCAATCTCCTCACGAATCGGCCGAGAGAATCTACTAAGACTTCTAGAACGCCGGTGAACCTTAGAAGATGAAGAAGTCGGCGAGTCGTCGGTGGAGGGCGCCGAAGTCCCAATCGGAGCTCTTCTGGTCGTCGACTTGAACGCCGATGTGGCCATCGGGTCACAGATTTCGGAATCAAAGAATGAAAAATGGCATTAACAACATCAAATTGAAAGCTAAAATCACATGGAAATGGTGAAGAAGAACCCAGGAGCAAGGGTTTGATCGAACTGACAGAAGATTTCAAATAGGGCGGATTGGATGAGAGGATTCTGAATAATAATTTAAATTTCAAAAATATTGTAACTTCCGAAGCTTTTAAGGAAATAATACGATTTTTAAAATAATTAAATCATAATATAATAATAATAACAAACAAACTATTTTAATATTTTTTTAAATTAAATAATAACATATTTAGATTTTGTTTTATGTGATCAGGGCTGTTTGAGATTGTTTATTTGAAATAACTTAGGGGCTGTTTGTTTGGCTCTTAATGGTTACATTAAGAGCCAACCTCTTAATCACTAAGAGGTCAAGGTTGTTTGACAAAAAAAATGGCTCTGAATGGTTACATTTTCCCTCTTAACCATTTTGCATCTAAGGGGTCTCTAAACCATTCAGACTCCTCTTTTTCCATATTTGCCCTCTCTCCCAACATTCCTCACACATCGCTCATAGTGTGACATCCGTCACCAAACCAGGTTAGTCAATCGTAACTCGAAACCTAACGTTAGCCCTTTTAGTAAATTTATGTGCTCACATGCTTCCTGAAACATAAGGTGTGAAATTTTAGGAGTTGGGTGTGTTCATTTTTTTTCCCCTTAAGTACTCTGGTCATTCTAATAGTAGAGAAAAGCTAAGTGTTTATTATTCCTAAGTTGAATTTCTTTTTTTCGAGTACATAATTAGTCTATATAAATGTTTTATGTGCATTGTACCGGTGACTAAAAGC